GTTGGGAATGATGGAGAAGCTTGCATTGGGGTGATAGTAGTTGGCAAGAACGGGCCCAGGTGTCTTGTCTTCAGGCTCTTCCTCGACAGGAGCGGGCAGATCATCGAGCAGGTGGCGAGTCTTGGCGATCTTCTTCCTGGGAAGATATTGAGTCAATGGGTAGGCAAAGTGATATGCCGCATCGGAGTTGTATTGAGGGCTCTTGGGGTCCAAAACGCTTCCAGGAAGTCCAATATAGAAGTGGCCCCAGAGAGTGCCATTGTTCTGAACGGCCTTGGGTACGGCGAACTTGGTATCGATAGATCTCTTGTCCGTGTAATTATTCATATGGAATTCCTTCTCATTGAGAACAATGTATTCGTCGGGGGTCTGCGAGATAGGGGTGGGGTTGAAAGAGGGCGACAGAGTTACAATGATGTCCACGTGGGCATCTTGAGGCCAGATGGGTGCAATCTTGGTAGGGAAGGCTTGGTACTGCGCGCCTTCATCTAGTTTTCGAGGTCGGAGTTGGAAAGGTGGGATCTCGCCGGTGTTGCTGGCAACCTGGATCTTCTCGCCGGTCTTGGGATCGGTCCGGGTGACGCTCGTCTGGGATTTAGAGAAGGCCTGGTTCAGGAAGATGTTGAGGCCGAAGTAGCATACTCCTCCGATCAAGAGCTTTGTCCAGCCGGGGATGGCCTAGTCGCGCGCAAACAGAAACACCATTAGATTGAGTCCATGTCAAATCAAGAGTCCAGCGCACAGTGCATACTCACTGATGTCGGGTCCTGGTTCTGGCCCCGGGGCCTCTGCCCGGCGACGGCAGCGTTATTGGGAGGCATCGCAATATCGCAGCTTGTAGACAAGCAGGCGGCAGGACAAAAGGGCAGTTGTCGCAAATGCACGAGGATCGAATTATCTCGTGGGACGGATTAAAAAACTGTCCTCTTGGTTGCCCGCCGGAGGTCGAGTTAACCAGGGTCCGTCCCCACAGTCGATATAACGTGCTTGCCGTTTAGCTGGACCCGCCGCTTCCGAGTTGGGAAGAGGCAATTTAGCCACCTTCCACCTCTGCACCGGCACACGTCCGCTAATCGGCCATTTTTCAGGCGACGAATCACCGCTAACTCTTTGCCCACGATTACATGAGTCTGGTTGCCGATAAGGACATTCAACAACAAAACGTGGAGTTGAGTAGGGCGTCTATTAGCTGCGCCAAGTAGATGTACAACTTACTCGGAAATGCCAGTGCCAGTTCGGGTTGTGTTGATGGTATTCATCTTGGACCTTGTTCATTAGGCACCAAGCAGATTTATAGCATGGATTTGGCTGGCGAAGCGCTTTTGATCACACAATACGAAACCTCTTCCTTGCCAAATCTACATCCCTATGCCAATCCAGGCCGGCCTCTTACGGCGTGGCTGCGTCACGCTCCCCAAAATACCAGAATTGACACTACCCATCTCCTAGACGGTTAGAGTTATGTACGTGGCAGTGGCGGTAACCAAGCCAAAAGTTAAAGGGCTTGGGCTTGTAGCCAATCGACAACATGGTGTGCATGGGAGACAGCAGTGGGTGGGCACCCGTCACCATTCATGTGCCAGGAGCCCTGCAAGAGCCGTCTGTAGCGTAGCCCCAAGGGCCGATCATGCAGGTCTGCCGGCCACCGTCAAGGTCAATACGTAGTAGTCCCGGGGTATTTAAGGGCGTGATCTGCTCCCCAACTGTTGAACAGCCGTATACACGATCTCGGATCTAAAGCTTGGCTTCATTCTCTTGAGCATTCCTTCCGCTACTGCCCGGTTACTTTTTCACAAAGCTATCGGCATCTCGCGGCTGTATTGGAACTTACCTCCGAACCGGAGCCCTTTCGGACTGTGACGTAGCGTTCCCCCCGGCAAAGAGTCATCAATCCCAACGAGTCTTAAGGTTAGTCCTAACGACCTAGACCTGGCAGGATTCAAGACGTATAAACTCCAATAGAATTCGCCGCTGGGTTGAGTGCCACCAACGTCGCACCTTGTCTCATCGGGCTATTTATTCTTGATCGGGTGACCCTTCTTTTCACATCACAATCACCCATTTCTCCCCCTCTCATCCTCCCATTCCAGAGAACACGATGACTTCTGATACCCAACCCTCCGGCCAGAATGGCCACTCAAGCAACGGCGCCCCTCGCGCCAAAGTGTGCGTATACTGCGGAGCCAATGCGGGATCCAGCCCACTGCACCTGGAGGCAGCTCGAGAACTCGGCCGGGCCATGGCCGCGAACAACATCGATCTAGGTTTGTACCACATTCCCAAGGCGGCTCTACTCTTCTACCCGCATCGTTCTGGACAATGCTGACATGAAGACACAAACACAGTATACGGCGGCGGAACTGTCGGTCTGATGGGCGAAGTCGCAAAAACTCTTGTCTCCATCAACGGCCCCGACTCTGTCCACGGCATCATCCCCGAGGCACTCGTCAAGTACGAGCGGGACGGCACCTACCAAACCACCAACAAGTCTAACCAGGTTGTCCCTGAAGAGTCAGTTTACGGTCGCACCACCGTGGTCAAGGACATGCACACCCGCAAGAAGCTCATGGCCGAGGAGGTTTTCGCCGGCGGCCCAGGAAGCGGGTTCATCGGCCTGAGCGGCGGCTTTGGCACAGTGGAGGAGATCTTCGAGACCACAACCTGGAACCAGCTGGGAATTCACAGCAACGGCATTGTTCTACTTAATATTAACGGTTATTGGGATGGCATCGTGCAGTGGTTAGACAAGGCTGTCGAAGAGGGGTTCGTCAAGGAGGCGAACAAGAACATTCTCGTCACGTCAACTACTCCCGAAGGCGCTCTCAAGGCCCTGCGCGACTACAAGGTCTCCGATGGAATCTACCAGCTCAAGTGGGAGAGTAGCTAGACAAGACGGCGGCTGTTATCGCTCCCTCGCTTGCGGCAGCCGGTAGTTGCATGGGACGGTGTTATGTCTTTTAAGGTTAGATATCATCAGGCTGGGACCATGGGTCGGTTGTCATTCAGTTAGCTTTCATCATATAAAGAAATAAACAACTATTCGGCGGCATTTCAACCACCAAAATTAATTGCGTTTTCGTCATTTTCGGCTCATGAAAGAACCGCCAGCCCAGGCAGCCCTTACTGTACACACACTTCCAGCGAATTCGCGGCGACGTTATTCATTATGCCATTCTATTCTTTCTCTCTAGTTGTCCACGTCCATACCCTCGGTCTCTGCTTCGTCACCGGCGCTGGGGCCATCTGCAACACTCTCGATCCACTGCTGGACGTCAAACCCATCGTAGAGCTTGAAAGGCTCGATACCCTTCTTACCCTCTGTTTGGGCACCGGCAACTCCGACCGATGTGTTCTCCACAGTCAGCTCCTTGTCCTGGACCAAGCTCTCCTTGAGCGCCTTTAGGCCGTGCTGGATCAACTCTTCCCTTGAAGCATTCTCGAACTTGTCGAGGTTGCGCTCAAGATATGTTCTCGCCATCTGACTGCGTGCGCCGATCGCGAACGCCACCATCTCCTCCGTCATGCCGGAAGGCTGGAACTCGAACAGGTGGGTGCCCTTCTCGTCGACACCGGCAACCAACAGGCCGACACCGTAGGGTCTCTTGCCGTACATCTGAGTGTTTGTCTGGGCCTTCTCGCCGATGAGGTCGACCAGGGAGCTGACGGGCATGGCACGGCCGTATGTGAGACGGTGGCCAAGGCACTGTTGCTTCATGAAGTTGGAGAGGACGCGGGCGTCGGAGGTCAGACCGGCGATGGCGAGACCGACATGTTCGTCGACGGTGAATAACTTCTTCTGGTACGAGGACAGCTCCTCTGCGTTTCGCTGTCGAGCGGGGTGGTTAGCTCGAGCTTACAAAGTGCAAGGCTGGATTGAGGTCGGGCATTGGAACTCACCTTGATGGCGCACAGAACGACGTGGGTTTTGCTGGCGATACCCACGACTACTGAACCTTGCTTGACAGCCTCGGCAGCATACTCGATCTGGAATATTCGGCCCTGAGGCGAGCTACATCAGGTCAATGACGGGACTTCCCAAGCTAGAAGCAGTTTAACAACATACAATGTGACGGAATCGTTATCGTAATTGTTTCGAAACATGGCGATAGCTTGCAATTTCTTGTTCCGCGGCCCAGGATTATGTAGATTGAGTTGATGGAAGCTGGGGTCGTAACTTCAACGTGGGGGAACAAGAGGGTTGGGGCGGACAAATCGTCGAGAGGCACGTCTGAGGTTAGGGAATCACAGCGGCCAGGCAGCTTCAAGCTGCGTCAAGCTGGTTGACGTGGGTGCCCTGGGCAGAGTGTACTAAAGTATCTGGCCGAAGCTTTCCCGTTGGGACACGGTCGGTCTATAGTCGTAATTACATGACTAAGCCACCAACAAGGCGTGGTGGCGGAGTGGTCTAACGCGCTAGACTTGAAATCTAGTTCCTTCGGGAGCGTCTGTTCGAATCAGGCCCACGTCGTTTGCTTTTTGTCTTTCTCCAACTCAAATTCATTCCATGATGTGAACTTTCCTTTTTGTTTCTTTTTTGTTTCTCTACCTCCTAGTAAAATAGCCTCATCATCTTCTAAGCACCATTCTCAAACTTGGCTAGTAGCAAATGATCTTTTCACAATTATCCAAGTTAACGGCCGTGGCGGGGTAGTAACCGCGGGGTCGTCCATTTGATAAAGTCTCTGCAGTCTGAACACTCGCCCAACTTAGCAAAAATTAAACGTAGTATTGAAAACCACATTTCATAGACTATGAGAAAAATATACAGATTCCATGTGCAGTCTCTTTGACTAACCATAACGGGAGTATCCAAAAACATGTACCCGTATACCCGTATAACAGCTGGCCACTTGCAACACTTGCATTGATCAACAACACAAAGAACGAATCCATCTCCCCAGGCACCTCCAAGAAACCGTACACTCGTCTTCTTTCATCTCCTAGTGCATATTAGAGAGGTTACATCCCCGCTTGACTGCTTTCATGATACCTAGGCTCTCTCATGTACGGAGCATAGGAAGTTGGCTCTTGCATATCCTGCCGATAATCTTCTTCAAACCGGACAGGTTGTATTGGCTGTTTTTCAGGGGCAGCAGGTGGGACAAGATCTTCTTGGCCCCGCGGTTCTGGGGGGCGTGGCTGCATTGAACCCGGAGGGCGGCGGTATTGTTGAGCTGGAGCTGCTGGCTGTGGCAACCCCTTATCTTTCGGGCGCTGCCTTTCTGGGAGGACATTCCTATTCATGACGTACGGCGGTACATCACCATACACTTCAGTCTTGGGAGCTGCTTCGAGCTTTGGTCCTCCGTCCAGCTCGGGGTAAGGCGGCAACGTGGGCGACGCATTCCTTTTGGCCGAATGAGGGGACTTGGGGATCTTTCTAAGGAGTTCACGCCGTTGCCAGAAACCGGTGAGATCCGCGGTCATCTTTCTCTGTACGATTTCTCCCGCTGACCTGCCGTTGCGGGTAGCCGGACGGACTTCGAGACGGCCTGAGAGCGGGACCCGGACCCATTCCTCATCATGTATGAACATCATGAAGCGGATGCCTTCAAATAGCACAGTCTGGGATTTATCTGGGTTTGTTATACACCAGGATTGCGATATATCCGTTTGGTATTTTGAATACCGTGACCTTCGGGTCATTATGGCATTGATGACGTCTTGACGAGCTTTGCTTCTCTCGGTGCCATTTTCCAAGTCCCTGAAGTCCCGAGCCAACACCGATTCAAGATGTTGTTTATTAGGAGTTACGGCGTCTTCTTGTTCGAAAAGGTCTCTGAAACAAAGTAATCCTATTGGTGCATTTGAAGCGATGGTCTGGTATGAGCCTGTGTGTGTGCGGACTGGAGATCTCAACAGAATGCTCATTTTTGAAGGAAAAGGGCGGCGACAACGCCTATACGAATGATTGTTTTACAGTATTTCGCAATTCGGCTGTAAAATGAGAGGAACATTGATGGTTTGTGGCTGAAAGGATACGTCAGATTGTATAGGGCATATATACAGCTCCTCGGATGCCGATGCCGTTGAAGCAACTAGACCAGCTCCAGACTTCAGCCACGACGTTTAAGTTCCATTAGGGAATCTAATAGCGGCCTCGGGACAAAGTTACGGGCTATAAGGGAGATTTCCACCTGCAAGTACAGCTTTGATAGGGTCGTTAACATATGTCATGAGGCAGTCTCTAGTGGACACTCAATGCATGAAGTGGTATCTCGACGACTCATCTAGAGACTACAGCTGTCACAATTTCTACTTCATGGCATACATATGTATTGAAGCCTCTTTATCAAAATTTCTAGTCTCTGGCTCCTCGATGTGTTTTTCAACGTCTAGGCTTGGCAATCTTTGCGATTCCATCTCTAGTTTGACTGAGTTTTGAAAAAATCAATAATGAAAAAAGGGGCGGAGCGATTAATACAGCCGAGAGTCAGTAATGTCTGTTTGTAGCTAATTACTATCTAATTGAATTTGAAGTATAATTGAAGGAGTTCCCGGAAACCTACCGCTGAAAGTACACTCGTTGTGTGGTAGGAATCGTAGGGATGGATGTAATTGTAAGACATTGCAATTGTGATAGCGAATAAGTACATCCAAATCCAGCGCCATTAAAATGCTCCTCTCGCATAATCTATGAGAAATGACAAAAAGGGATATGAAAAATCTGCAAAGAGTCTGCAGAGGAGTGCCTTGGGAAAGATGAGGCGAGTCCCGGGTAGTTGTCCAATAACGGTGATACAGCTAGCTCCCCGGCGGTCTAAATTTCTGGTCGCTTCCCCCCGACACACACCCCCATGCACCGAAACAACACCTCTTCTGGCAGCTGACCTCACCGGATTTCACAGCCCTATCCTCGCTCGGTATACTCGAATTCCTCACATCACGCGGGATACGAGTTGCGTCAATGCTGCGCTGTGGCCTACGGACCCGAAGACTCATCCTCGCTGACAGAATCGGCCTCTTGCATAACAGCCCAAGCCTCCAAGTACGACGTCAGCTGGGAATCCCGCGGCCACCCTGGTGTGCTGGACGCACTCCACGATGGAATAATGACCCCCAATATCTGCAGCTGAACAGGTTTTCCCACTCATCAAGCCTACCCTCCGTCGGTGACACCATCTACGCCCTGTCCACAGCCCAAGGCCGAGCAGGCATCGCTGTGATTCGTATATCAGGCCCATCATGCCGTGAGGTATTGTGGTGTCTGAATTAGTAATGTATCGAGTACATGCGTGCTGACTTTTATTTCCCGAAAGGTCTATTCGGGCCTATGTCCAGGCAGGGCTTTCCCAAAGCCCCGACTTGCGGCTGTCCGTAGTCTATATGACCCCTCCGCGTCAACACCAGGACACGTGACGGGCCTCCTAGATGCCCAGGCGCTGGTCCTCTCCTTCCCGGGCCCAAACTCGGTGACTGGAGAGGATGTCCTTGAGTTGCACGTCCACGGCGGACCAGCCACCGTGAAAGCCGTGCTGGCTGCCATCCCCCGCAGCTCGCGCTCGCACTGCATCCGGTACGCTGAGCCCGGGGAGTTTACCAAGCGCGCCTTCATCCACGACCGCCTGGACCTCGCCCAGGTCGAGTCGCTCGGCGATACGCTGGCCGCGGAGACTGAGCAGCAGCGCCGGGCTGCGGTGCGCGGCAACTCTGGGGCCCTCGGCCGAACGTACGAGGATTGGCGGGAGCAGCTCCTGCTTGCTCGTGGCGAAATCGAGGCGATTATCGACTTTTCGGAGGACCAGCACTTTGATGACTCACAGTCGGAGTTGCTGGGCAATGTAACCTCACAGGTTGCCGGTATTCTACGTGGCATTGGGCTTCACGAGCAGGGTAGCCAACGGAGCGAGTTGCTGCGGAGCGGAATCCGCATCGCTCTGGTTGGCCCGCCCAATGTGGGAAAAAGCTCCCTGATGAATCTGATAGTGGGGAGGGAGGCATCTATTGTTTCCGGCGAGGCTGGTACCACGCGGGATATCGTGGAGGCCAGTCTCGACATACGAGGTTACCTCTGCTCCTTTGCAGATACGGCTGGGTTCCGGTCCCGGGAGTCGACACCACATCACGAGGGTCTGAGCTCTGGGCCAATTGGGGCCGTGGAAGAGGAGGGAATAAGACGGGCGAAGCAAAAGGCACTGGATTCCGACATTGTCGTCGTTTTTGCTTCGATTGAGAAGGGGGGTCCCGTGGGGAACTTTCTCTTTTACGACGAGGAGACGTTGGACCTCGCGGCGAATGCCAAGTCGTCCATTATTGTCATCAACAAGATTGACGGGGTCGACGAGTCCCGGAGGACCGAGCTCATCAACGAGTTTCGTCACGTCCTTGCAGCAAAGGCCGCGAAGCTATCTGAGACAGAGATCCTGGCAATCTCCTGCCGGGATGCCCAGTCAGCCACCACCACCGCCAGCAACAACGACCCAGGCGGTGTCCATTCCGTCACCAACGCCCTCGTATCACTATTCTCCCAAATGACCGAGATGCCCGTAGAGCTGCAAGACCTCCTGGGGGTGACGGAGCGCCAACGTCAGCTCCTGGCCGAGTGCAGACGTCACCTGGAGAGCTTCGCGGAGGAGGCGCAGGCGCACCGCGATGACGACGCCGACGTGGGCACGGATGTCGTCCTCGCGGCCGAGTACCTCCGCTACGCCGCTGACTGTCTTGCGCGTATCACCGGCAGAGGTGAGGCCGGTGACGTCGAGGACGTGCTGGGCGTCGTATTCGAGAAGTAAGTTTGATGTTTTTTTTCTTGTGTTGCTCGTTTTCCCTCGTTTCGCTCATCGGGATACCCCCACCCTCTTCCTTCGTCGTGCCCCCTTTCCCCCCCTTGGCCCCCGACTGCTGGGCCCCGACACCCCCGGCCTTGGTACTCTGCCACGTTTTTGCTTTCAGCTCTTTTGATTAATTTTTCTATTTTAATTGTTTTCTGTTCCTCCTGTTTGGGTGATTGGAGATTGGTACTGACGAAAGGGGTAAATCAGATTCTGCGTTGGAAAATAGCAACGTGTGTATAAAGAAAAAAATCTAATAATTTGAGGAGCTGTCTAATTGCTGTCTATCGTGTCTATAACCCTAGTCATATCCAAAACGCCTCGTATGCTCGCAACCGCCCATCCGACAACCAGCTCTCAAAGCGGCAACCAGGCCGAGCGAGGAGCTGAAAGCGAAAGCAGGCAGTGCAAGTGGAAGTGATCCAACACGAGTCTAGTATAAAAAAAGAAGAAGAAAAAAGTGAAAAAGAGGGAGAGAAGAAAAGAAATGATCCCAAAGAAAAAGAAAAAAGTACACTTCCCAAGTCCACACAGTGAGTTGGGAATCGCAGTGAGCGCCCTCCTGTAGTTCTATTCCCATAATGCCATATATCATGTACCTCCCGTCAAAGTCGAACATAAAAGAAAAACAATTTTGAGCTCCCTTCGCCCTTTGACGTTGGCACTGTCGTGTTGCTGTCGAAACAATCATAAAAAAAAACAACGGAAGTTGAGGGGGAGAATGTCATCCCCCCGAAATCCGTGTCGCTCATGCTCGGTAAAAAAGACCAAAGATTCTCGATGAGAAGAAAAATCCAGAAAATCAATTTGCTGATTTGATACAGTTTGGTGTTGTCGCCCAGAGAATGGAAGCGGGTGTTTTTGCTGCTTCTTTAGTTGTAGCCGGAGCGGCCAGACTTCTCGTCGTCATCGCCGGCCTTGTTGTAGCCGGAGCGGCCGCTGAGGTTGATCATCTGCTCATCGGCGTCGGGCTCGTTGTAGCCGGAGCGGCCCTTGTTGCCCTTGGGCTCGTCGTCCTTGTTGTAGCCGGAGCGACCCCAGTTGCGGGCCATGGGAGCATCGGAGAAGTTGAGAGCAGCCATTGTGATTGTGGGATTAGAGTATGTTGTTTATTTGTAAAATGATGTCAAGTAGGTTTGTGAATAGGCGAATGACAATAGCAAAGTCAGTCTTCCAGGAAAGTTGGTTGGTAAGTGGGCGTGAAGAGGTGATGGGTGTTGTTGATGATGAAGAGCTGAGTGGCTGATTAAAGAAACAGTTATTTGCTTGTGAGTGAAGAAGAAAGTGTGAAACAGTTGATTGATTGTTTGATGATGGGATGAGAGATTCCTGAAATTTCGGGATCGAGGGCAGACCTTATATATTCGGGATGCGTGGTGTCTCGCAGGCAGAGATGTGTTGCCTGGCTAGGCGATGATACTTCACACCTTCACGTATGCACGCTAGCACCTACAGGATACCCGTAGAAGATACCTGCACGCCGACATGGGTCGCAAGAGGTACGTAGAGGGCAAGACACACGCCTACCTACTCTGTCACTAATTTGGTGCATCTCCAATTGCGGATGACACTCTTGTGGGAGCCCTGCCATCCCTACCGGCTGGCTTCCATTGGACTTGGGGGTTGCATACTAGGGATCTGGCCTGGCCTCAGCCCTGCTTCGAAGCGGTCGCTGCCAGTGAAGACGGCCCGTCATTTGTCAGGAATCGCCGAGGGACCCCGTGGCTCAAGTGCCTAGGGCCAGGCAGTCCGTCCAATCCTGGGCCAGATCGGAGCTGGATTGAGCCAAGTCGCGAGGCAAGCGTTGGAGAATGGGGACTAAAATGGCGGCCTTCTTTCTTTTCCTGGATAGGGCTGAGCACCTTTGGCTGACTGTGTTTTTGGCAGAAAGGTCCCAAAAGCCAAGCACAGGACGGGTGCAAGGTCCATGGCTATGGGCCATGGTGGAAGGGACATGGAAGGGAAGGGAAGGAATGAGTGGGCAGGGGTGCCATTACAACCGGTAATGAGCACAGGAACGAATCCCAATGCACGACGGGACGCCGCAAGGGATCGAGTGCCAGAGCTCGGGCCCTGCAGCCCCTGTAAAAACGTCGCTACCGCTGTCGCGGACCCCACCACCGCCACACTGCAGCAGAAGAGGGAATCGGGAGAAGTGGCTTAGTGCTGCTAAAACAGTCGTGGTAATCACAATAGCCTAGTCCCTTCCCTACCGTACGAGGTACCTACGAGCCGAGCCCGCCATTCTGAATGCTGCGCTGCCAGTGCATCGTGTAAGAAAGTCGGCGCCTTCCACGGAACCCACCCTGCTGTCTCGTTTCGTCCGGTCTCGATGTGCTTTTCACAGCAGACCGCCTGCTCCCCTACCCTGGTATTCTGTCGCGAACTACTCGTACGGGTGGGCTGGCTGGGGGTGCGAGCACGCGGAGGAAGACGGCATCATCGCTCGGTCGTCGACGAGCAGGAGAGTCAAATGGGTGTGCGTGGTGTAATCGTCACGGGACATTTGGCTGTGTAACGACGCTACACCGACGTCTCCCACACCACACACCAAACGTACAGCTAGCAGGTAGGAGTCATCTAAGACACCCTTTCCGCTCCTGGGTCAATGTGCGAGCAAATCGAGGCCAGATGGGAAGCGACCCAAATTGGTGGATCGTGGGGGCGACTGACGCCCACATGGCAATTTAATTCAACCACCCATTCCTTTCCCTCCTTGCTCACACCTAAAACGCGATGATCGCTTCCCTCCTGGCAGCCCATTAATAATCCGGCTTTCGCTTCCGCACTTGCTCTTCCGCAAGTGTGACTGCAGCCAGCACCCTGAGTGCTCTACCGATCGCATGGGAGCGCACGGTCCCAATCCACGTAGCGTCTCAAAGGGCCTCTAGGAATAGAACCATCCTCATCAGCAAGCATCGTCATCTCATCATTCACATAATCAGCATCATCGGTGTGTGGGGTGTGCATTCTGCACCCGTCATCCAGCAGAAGCCAGAAGGCTCTGCGAGAATGGTTACAAAGCCAAGCCTTCCCATGATGACCAACAGGCTGCGGTCTGCACGCGAAGGCTCTCCTCCGCAAGCGAACTGCACCTGCGATGGTGACATAAGAATCTCCGACCGGCATGTCCGCGTAAGTCCGTACGAGTGACTCCGCGGATCCGGGAGTGTGTCTCATGGGCAGGGTCATCCAGCGAGAAATGCCATGTGGTAACAGTGCATAAGGGGGAATGGGAATGCTGATGGTATGCTGATTGATGCTGATTATGTATGACGATGTTGCTGATGATACTTCCGGCTCTGCTTCTGCCATGGATGGATGGACACCTTTCTCTCCAGGCACCAGCATTTCGAACCTTGGCTCCCACACTCTCGGCTGGTCGGTGACCGTTTTTACGCAAAGCGCCAAACGCAGATTCGGAGCACACGGACGAGTCTGCCATCCAGACAGCCAGCAGGGGAGGTGGGAAAAAAGTTCTTGCCCTGAGTCACCGGTCAAAAAAATGATATCCTACTCGCCTACGCAGCCTCACTGAAGTTCCCCCCACCGGTCGTATGTTGCACGTGTATTCCATTCCCCTATGCAGCCGAAGCCCATTTCGACCAAGGCCGAGCGAGATTGAGAAGGCGGGAAAATGCTGATCATGTTCTCGCGTTGTGCATCCACTCCCCCTCGCTATCCCGCCAATCGCCCCATGCAGCCGTTGCCAGCGCCTTTCGATCGTCTTGGCAGATGCTAGTGACATTTACCCCTTCAGGAAAGCCAGCACTTGCTTGGCTTTTTTAGCGGCTTCCGCTATAGATAGGATCGTGGCGAGTGACGGCGGCTGTGAGAAGTAAATTTGGCAAATGTGGCTTGTGGCTGGGGAAAATTAGCCGCCGTGGCGCCAAAGTGCAGGACAAAAGGCGGAGGCGCGGCTCGCCTCAGGTATCTGCCGGTGCCTGGGCGTCTAAATCGGTGTATGCTACCAGAATAGGACCTCGTATGCCAGATTGTCTAAACGGGGCTTGCTCTGACTGCTGGGTCCGCTAGACGTCTATTCAGCCACTAAGGCACCCACTAAAGTAGTGCCCGAGGGGGCGCTGATCCCCAGCTCCCAGGGGACAGGAACCACTGTAATTTAGGGGGGAGGCCGCCTATCGTCAATGCTATCCAATCTGCCAGCCGTGAGTGGCTGCCGCTAAGATTTGCCGGTAGTCAGCCCTGCCTCGTGATTTACAGCGGCTCCATATGATCGTGGAGCCCTTCACTGTCTGCCTTGGTTGGGCGCACTGCCACACGAGCTTCCTTGTACGACCCTTCGGAAAGATAAAAAATTTTAGGCCTAGTTGACACTACGCTGGTCAGGGGACAACTGTTCGGCAGACGAACTGCTGCATCATACCCATATCCTTGGGCTCTCGGGAGGAGGTTGCTTGGGCCCTTGTCCCGACAGTTGCGCGAGTGTCCTGTTTTGGCACGTCTCGATGAGGCACGCTTCTAGAAGTCAGATGCATGCGTCCGTGTAGTACACACGCAGGTCGCAGTGCATAGGGTCGCAGCTAAGCATCGCATCCAAAATGAGCGTCGATAAAAAAAGAAGGAATCTCTGCGACGAATGATCGCCTTGCCATGCGTTGCGTCGCCTTGCCGCGCGCCGATAGTTGCACACACTCCTCCTCGACTTGCCGGTGTGTGTTGTATCAAACGGCCGACTTCCAGATAATGCACACGCCTGGCTCTCTCGTCCTTGCACGGCTCTCTCTCACGCCTGAGGTACCGTCTGTGAGACATGGAGCACCACCCCAGCATGTTCGTGGACAAAAATAGCAAGCCCCCTGCCTGGTCTGGCTTTTTAGACATGGCAGCCCAAGATTACGGTTCCTGTTTCCAGCCATCCGATTGGCCTCGAGGTCCCAACGAATTGGATTGCCGATTCGACATGTGAGATGGCTGCTCGGAGGCACAGGACATGGACCACCCTTGGTCGGGTCCTTCCTCCTGGATGTTGCTGGGAGATGTGCCTGTCTGTGCCTGTAAAAGTCCACAAAATACAACGACCAGGCTCAACCTCCGCCGTCAAATCAGCGGCTAGAATCGGTCCTGAAGCAAAAATAAGGCTCCGAATCACCTGAGCCGCCTTGCTGGCGCCTTGCCGGCGAGGAATGACTCCCCAGACGGCCACACAGGCTTAGTCGAGGCTTCCCACCCGCTGCCAATGGGAGCCTCGTGGCTTTGGGGATCTTTGTCTTGGTGCACCACCCGGCTGGAGCCTCGATGCCTTGTCTCCCGCGCGCACGCCTTGCGGGCAGTCAGGCCCCCTCTCCCAAAATGGCGGGATACCTCGCACACCCACGATGACCAAGAATTTGGGAATCCAGGCCGGCCAGGGACTCAGGTTCCGGATTCCTACTTTCGTGGGATGGAGGGATGCGCGGCCGACTCTGCTGACAACAGGAACCCAACCACTACACTACCTACACTTAGTACCTACACTACACTGCCGTCCTCTGTATTGCTTCGAGGTTGGACACACCCACCCGTCGGAGCTCCACGCTCTCCACTCCCCCCATCACCACCCAAAACAGCACGCGGTTGCCAAGTCCCCACCGCCCCCAGGCCCAGGCCCATCCCTCTCCAGCATTTCCGCGAATGACGTTGCCGGCCATTGTTGCACAGGAAATGAGTCTGACCCGGTTCCACGAGTTGCCCTTCCAGAACGATCTGCCCTTTCGCGGACAGATCTCCCCAATCCCTGATTCGCTCGTGCCAACCTACCTCATCTGAATTTACGAACCATGGTCCCGGGCTAGAGTCGCTATACGATGCAGAATCTATAGCGAGCCCGCAGCCAATTGAAGTGCCGATAAGGCTGGAAGCTCGGGCTCTGGTCTGCCATTTTTTCTAACCTCGTCTCACAATCGTGGACTGCGCGGAGCTATTCAAAGTTCTCCAGAGTTTCAGCCTGCTCTCCCTCTTTCTTGCTCACCCACCCCCCCTCCATCCCTTCCCGACCGCCAGTCTGGCAGCCTGCCAGTCTGCTGGGAACGGCGTGGTGAGGGTTGGATGGACCCCTCCTGCAAGGTCCCGTACGACGTGTGGTTTCATTGGGAATCAGAGTCACACCGCACAACTTTCCACTTTTGTTGGCGGTTTTTCCCCCCCTCCCACTCTATATTTGTGTGTAAAATAGGTATCTTTTTTTCGCTTCCCCGCCCACCAATTGGCTTGCACGTCAAAACTTGTCTAGGTGGCATTCTAGACCTTTTCGAAAATCTCACTGGGCGCCGTCACTTCCTGAAGGAGCTAGGTAGGTAGTTGTTGATACCACCTCGGAGGTGGCCGTGACCGGGAAAATATGCAAGCCCAGAAATTGTCCTGCAGCCGTAGTCTCGTGGTGCTTCCTTGTTTTCTTTCCTTCTTTCTTTTGTTCTATTCTTTGCTCGTCTTTTCTGACTCACTCCCATGCGTCTAATCCTCCCCTTCCCCCCGTATCATCCATCCACCGCCTAACTGGCGCCTGCTACTATACTATTACATCGGTTCGCAAATAGGCCTGAATATGCGTGTGAGATAAAGACGGCGGAAGGAACAGCCCGAGTTTCAAGATGAGCCCATGCTGCCGGCTCCGTAACTTCCGCCTCCCCCTGAAACCAACCACCACACCCAAGTTCCTCTCACAACTCATCTCTGACATGATCTTCGCTTAGGTCATCCATCGCCATCAACTTGACCACGAGGCTGGTCCATCCTGTGAAGTGTTGCGTGCGCTGACCCGCTCCGGTATCCGGGTTGTACTGCTCCCACGCGAACCCTGTCTCCTTCCAGCTATTGTACACCGTGTTGACAAGGTTCTCACGCAGTCGTGAAAACAGTTCGCGAGCCTTCGCCTTGTGGGGTCCCTCTTGCACAGCCAGATTCTGTATGTTTTCGGGTCAGCAATTCATCCTAGTACTCGCCGAGAAGGGAAATGGAATGGCAAGAGGGCATGGCGGAAAGGGGGCTAAAAAAAGTAAACTTACCCTAAGGGAGGAGATGACCAGGTAGTTGATTGGCATCCATACCGGGCTACGCCAGTAATTCTCACCGGTGCCGTAGTGAGGATCCTGCTTGCTGAGGCTGCGAATTCCGTGGGGACTCCACAGGTGGTCCTCGTCGCCAATGAGGTCGAGAATTCTCCCAACTTTTGGATCCTCCGGCTTCATCAGCCCGACCAAGAATGGGAAGATGGAGATGTACCCCTTGTGGCACACGAGTGCATGTTCCTCGAACTCGTCGATTGACGCGTCACAGTAGCATCCTTCCTTCTCAGACCAGTGTAGATCATTGACGTTGTGCTCGATGGCGTCGAGGTTCCTCTTCAACTCGGCAACATCCTCGTCGTTGCCTAACGCTGAGGCGATGTTGAGTAAGGATTTGGTCATCAATCCCACCCACGACATCAGGTCAACGTGCAGCTCACCGGGAGTAGGGGGCTGAGGTCGAGGGTAATCATCCAGCCCACTCGTGAGAACATGAGTCTCGGTGCGGCCGCGCCATCGGTAGGCCTCCTTGGTGGAATACGCCTCGCGGTCGTAGGTCTTGATGTCTCCACGCTGTGTCTTGCGGAACCAGTCGTACTGCCGACGTAATAGGGGGTAAATCTCATGCAGATATTGCTCACCAAGCTTGGCATTGTCGAGGTGGGCGGTGTGAATGTCATTTGCATCCTTCGCCTCGTCGGGGGTGCCGTTGGCTCGCTGCAAACGTTCCATGAAGTCCTCAATGGCCAGGAACAGAGTAGGTGGGTTGGCATAGTGAGGATATTGGACCTGGAACTCCTCAGGTACCTTGCTTCGAGCCTCTGGGCCAAGGATCTGTTCTCGGGGAATCCACCCATCATCGTCGATTGTCTTGAACCAGCTCTTGATAATCTCCAGTGTCAGGTCAGTGTCCCAGTCAGCGATGGGAATCAGGTGGAAACCCTCATCCCACAGGAATCCACGGGGGAAGAAGGGCCGGGATGGAACAGCAGTGAACAGCTCATATGGGCCCTCCAACTTCTGCCTCTTGCGAGCTCTGGCTTCCGCAGCGTCCTCCCAGAAGCGTTCATCGGTCTCATCATACTCATCCGCATAGGATCGATCGATGACCTGCTCGCCATGGAAGTACCCGATACCCCCCAGAAGGTTGGAGAACATGCTCTTTCCAAACTTTTGGAACTTCTCGCCGGTGAAAGGCTTCTGCAACTTGAACGTCTTTGAGAATCGCTCCTCAAATGCCTTGGAGGTGGCCTTGATCTGGCGAGTAACATCCTCAGAAGTCAATTCCTTGCCGGCTGAGCCCGACGAGAAGATCACATCAAACTCAAAGGGCCCTTCGAAGGTCTTCTGCACAATCTGGATCTTGCCGGGGCCGGGAAGGTTTTCCATACGGTAAACCTGCCACACTGGTGGCGGGTTATTGGCATCGATCTTCTCTCCATACGGCTCAATGGCTTCCTTCAACCGCCCGAAAACAATCTGCTTTGCTTGCCAGGCAACATCCTCCTCCGGGTGGAGGGAGTGGATTACGGTCTTTTCACCATCACGGTGTGCAAGAATTTTGTCATTGCTTGTTGGGTGATTTCCCTTGCCCTTGGTGATGACTACCTTGTAGTCACCCAAGACATCCGAAGAGCCCTTGAACTCGATATCCCCTCCAAAGCCACCATCGCTACCCATGCTAGTGGGAGCCAACTTGCCCTCCTCTTCATTCAAATAGTAGAAGAGCATGGTCTTGGTATCCGTGGGAGCACCAGGCTGCAGGTCTCCCTTGATCCGGGCAGCCCAGCTGCCGCCATGTTCTCCGCCGGGGAACTTGACAAAAGAGGTTGTTATGTCGACCTGGTTCCCATCATCATGAATCGTCTGTATGCCTCCGGTTCGGGCATCATACTCGTCCCAGCCATATCCGTGGATATCCTCGCCCTGCTCGCAGGTGTAGCGAAATACTAAAAGCCAAGGCCGCATTAGCACCGTCAACGGTATCGCAACACCCTCTCACATCCTCACTGCCACCCCGCGGCCGGCAGCTTGACCCCTCGTATTTCAGCACTTACCGTGTGGTGTCCGCTCATATGAATTCACGCCTCCCCACATCAAGCTGGACCAAAAGCCCTTTGGCGATTTCGGGCGGACGCCGAAATAGAGATTGGACTTGTACGGGCCCCAAAATAAGCTTTCGTCATTGAGGCGGCCAACCTCCTCCTCGGAGAGGACAGATTGCTGGCCCTGGGCCAAGGCGCCCAGCGCCAGCGCAGCGGAGAAGAGCTGCGCGAGTCGTGTCATCCTGGTGCAGTGCTAGGCCTTCCGGTTCACAGCCCAGCTCCGGGAAGACCAATGATGCGGTGGCGGGATATGCAACGAAAGATAGATCCCCGAGGTGGGAGTTGCAGGTGGGATGTAAGCTCACCGTTGGCGCAGGGCCGAGATGCAGCTTGATTCATGCGTTTTAGTGGACACGCTAACTCATGGGGTCCGTTGCGTACCCCTGGCACGGTCCCCCACCAAAGGTCTCAGAGGCCGATCAGCAAGCCGGCTCTGTGTTCACGGGGGCTGTGTATGATCTCGTAATTCTGTAGAGATGAGGTCAGGGCGTATCGGCCAAACCAACGATTCATGTGCCAGCAGAAGTGCCGTTGGAAACCCTCCGAAAGCTTGTGTTGACTCTCCTGGTACATGTCATGTCGCCCTGGAGGCTTGGCCAAGGCAAGGAAACTTATCTTATCAGGACGCAGGACGGAACAGGCTCCGGAAGTGGATCCACACCTCCTCTACCTCAACCTTTGGGCTGAGACTTGGAAACTTTCTGTCAGAGCTTGAACGCCACAAGACAACTGCCACAATTTTTCAGATCACCCCGAAACCTCACAAGATCCTAAAAAAAGAAAATACTTGTATACCGACCAAAGCCCGAGGCACAGTTGACGATGAGTGACTCGCGTCGCCCTCGCCGCCCAGAAGGCCGTCACCACGACGACTCAGACCGTCGAGACAGACACGGCGGTGCACGCGACAGAGATCGGGATCGCGAGCGAGATCGCGACGACCGCAGAGGCTACCGCTCACGATCCCGCGAACGCCGCGGCGGAAACAGAGACCGCTCAAGATCCCCAGACAGACGCCACCGCGACCGCGAGCGCGATGACTGGAGAGGCGGCAGAGACCGCGGTGGTGGCGGTGGCGATAGAGATCGCGGCTCTCGAGGCACCTGGAACAAGGACAACGACAGGCGAGATGGCCGAAGGAGAGATGACGACCACAACGACGAAAGAGACAGGCGGTCTGGGGGCAAGCGGCGGGGGAACTCGCCCAGACGGTCCCGGTCCCCTCCAGCGGCATCTTCAAACAGCGGAAACCTGCCGACCCGTCCCCACCCCAACAACTCCAGCCAGAACCAGCGGAAGAACATGTCTTTCAATGTTGGCCGCCGCAGCAGGTCTCCATCATCAACAAGAGATGCTGACACGCCCATGAGGGAGGAAAGTCGGGGCAGAGATCGTCCCGAGGAGGACCAGGAACCAGAGGAGGACGAAGACCCAGACATGGCCGCCATGAAGGCGATGATGGGCTTTGGGGGCTTCGACACCACAAAGAACAAGAAGGTCTCTGGCAACGATATCGGTGGACTCAGGAAGGAAAAGAAATCAGAATACCGCCAGTACATGAACCGCCAGGGCGGTTTCAATCGACCACTGAGTCCATCACGATAAAATAACCAATGTTTACAGGCCCGCCAGAACACCCCGGGCACTGTCTTTCCCTAATGCACTCCTAGAATTGAGGCAGCACTACGAGCAAGCACGTATTAGATACCTAGAATAATGAGATACCATCAACTTTAGTCACCTGCATCTCTCTTCATTCGTTCAACGCTTGAGCATCCATTGGTATTTAAAACACCCATAATCTACCCCATATAGACATGCGACGACAGAACAATGCAGACCCGATGACCCCAAAGGTTGATAATACATGGTCAGCTTGCCCCTAGGACAAGATCTCCCAAAACAATGCGCCCTTCATTCACTCTAATATGAACTTCCCGAATTGATAGATCCCTCCGTGTTCCCAAATCATAATGTGCATGAAAATCTAGACATTACGTATTACCACAGCAACACAACCTGGCTTCCTTGATATTCGCTTCCGATGCGCAGGTCTATTCTTTTTGCTCTTCGGGGCCGGGTTCTGTCGACGGAGTCTCATCGCCCTCCGCCTTGTTATCATCTGGGACCTCCTCACTTTGTCCCGACGAAGCCTTTTCCCTCCTCCTCCTCCTTAGCCGTCGCTCTTCCTCCGCTGTTTGTCTCCTTGCCTTTCGTAGACTCTCCCTCTTGGTGGGATCCTCCTCCTCCGCACCATCGCCGCTTCGCATACCTTGCAACATGGCCGCGGCCCTGTCAGCGACATCGTCCTCACCGTCACGAGAGCCTCCTTCCTCCTCGTTGATCGGTTTCTCCTTGCCCTTCAGATCGGCTTCCACTTCTGGGATCTCATTAAGATCGGGGATTTTCTGCCCAGAGGCAACCCGGACTTGGTGGCGGTCCTTGAGGCGTGCGCGACGCCTTCGGTCGCGTTGATCTCTAGCTTGGGGTGCAGCCGCACGAAGTTTCTCCAGAAGGGAGTCCATAGCACCAGCACTTGTAGGCGAAGCTGGCCCGATTTCTGGCGAGGCAGCTGCGTTGGCCTTCATCTGTGCATGTTTGCGCTTCATTGAAGCCTCGTTACGCTTCCTAACTTCCTCCAGGTTCACGTTCTTCTCCCTGGACTTCTTCCACTCGCCCAAGAATGAGGCAAGCTTGGCGAAGAAGTCTCTCCTGGCATTCTCATCCGTTGGGTCCTCACCATAGAAGGTCATGATATCCTTGTACGTGCGCAGCATTTCGTCCAGATAGAGATCCATCTGCTCTGCTTTTCTCCTTGCTTCTTTCATGCTGCGCTGCACAATCTGATTGACACGATCTTGAGGGTGGAACTTTTTAGGATCACTCAAGTTGCCAGAGTCCAGTGACATCTGCACATTCTTGACATTCGAAATGTACTTCCTTGCATCAGTCTGGAGCTGCTCGACGTTGATCTTCTGAACACTGATAACACCGGTGATATCATCGGCAAATCCCTCCCATTCCGGGTATTGATTCCGCACGATACGCTCGACTAAATCCGCCAAGGAAGACTCATTTTTGTCATCCTTGACCATGCCCAGCCTAGCGAGAGAGCTGAGCTTGAAACCACGAGCTTGCTTGTTGGCGTCATTCATGTAATTGCCGATATCAAGAATGAGACCAAGAACGTTCATCAGTGATACTGAATCACGTAAGGCTTCAGACACGTTCATGATCTGGCGAATCTTCTCAGAGAGTTCATCGTAGTCAGACTCAAACGTTCTCGTCAAATCCAAAGCCCTCATCCTGCTCTTCCAATAATGGTGAAGTTCAAACGCTGTGTAAAGGTAGATCTGATCTTGGCGTGTTAACTCGGCCGGGTCGGATTCACGAGCTTGGGCCTCGGCATTCGGCCCAGTCCAGTCTTTGCTATAGGGCGCCATCTGTTTCGATGTGCTATCGGCAATGTTACACAGATCATCCTTCTGCAAAAAGTCCATCACGACCGGGTTGTCGAGCACTTCCACGTCACAATGAATGATCATTTGGGAAACCTTTTCAACAGAATATTGAGAAAATTTGGCCAGGGCGATTTCTACATGAGGGAGTTAGTAAGTCAAGTCAACAGGGCCTTAATGGGAAATACTCGAGATCACTTACCGAAAGCCTTCCGCAAGTCAGTGGAGATGATTTGCTTCTTATCATCCTTCTTGGCTGCACCACCACCGATTTTCTTGATCTCTTTGGCCATGAAGAGCTTCTCGACTTCATCTAAAATACCCTTTCGGCTGAGTTCATTGTACTTCTCCTCTCGCTCTTCAGCAGATGGTGTATGAGCAGCCCAGTGACTGGTCTCAGGGGTATCAACTTTGTCCCAATGCAATGCCTTGAGCTTCTTCTTAGGCCGTGCAACAGGTAGGCCAATTCCAGGCGAGGGAGTGAAGGCTTGCTTCTGGGCCAAGAAGTTCCCAGAAGTTTTGGCTCCAGGCATTGGGGGAGGGGGAGGGGGCATGCCTCCAGCACCAGGCATTGGCGGTGGTGGAGGAGGCGGTGGCATACCTCCAGCACCAGGCAAAGGGGGCGGCGGAGGAGGCGGCGGCGGGCCAGCGGTTCCAGGTAATGGAGGGGGAGGAGGGGGAGGTGGTGGCCCAACGGCTCCAGGTAAGGGAGGTGGTGGAGGGGGAGGAGGAGGAGGGGGGGCACCCGGTATCTGGCCCGGAGGTGGAGGCGGCGGCGGCGGAGGTGGCGGAGGTGCGGCTGCCGGGATTTCGGCTGCTGGAGTTTCTGCCTTGGTTTCTTGGGTTTCTTCGGCTTCGGCAGTATCCTCCTCGCTCTCCTCCTCGTCCGTGTCGGCATCAAACTTCGACACCTTGGAGCCCAGTTCGTTGAAGAGCGCCTGCTTCTGCTGGGCATCCGCAACAGGGTCCTCAGGAATTGTGTCCTTCTTGATAGGCTTCCTCGGGATTCTGGTGTGACGGCTGATACTTCCCAGTACGCTATTTGTCAAGTCTCGAGGAGCACCGCCACGGCCTGGTGGCGTCCCGGGTGCTTCTGGGTCGACATTGTCTTCCATCTCCTCACGTAACGCACGAAGACGATCAGACGGGCCTGCAGCTTCGCCCCATACTCTTCCTTCCAACTTGTACTGGGTCTTCTGGCGCTCGATCTGCATCTGGAGACGCTCCATGAGGCGCTCCCGATCAAGGATGCCTTGCATATGGGACGCGTCTTGAGGAGTGACCTTTGCATTGCCCTTCATAGCATTGGAGGCGGCAACATCCTGAGCATCTCTAAGCATGAGATATAGTTCTCGGGTCTCAAGTTCATTTCGTTGTGCTTCCTTTGCTCGGACAGTTTGGACATTTTCCAATTCCGCTTTCAAGCCTTCGGCTTGCCTTCTTTGGGCTTCGATAAAGCGAGTTTGTTCGTCCAATTTCTTCTGTAACTTTGCAACCAACCCATCAGCGCCTAGCTCAACCTGGGCTCGCATCTCGTCCCTCTCCGCCATGGCGGCTTCAGCGATCTGCCTCGATTCGAGAGCTTCATCCTGAGCCTGCCGGGCCTCGGAGTCTGTGTGGAGCTTATCTAGCAAGCTCTGGACGGTGAAATTCAGACTCTGCTTCAAATCCATGTTCGGCAACCTGCGGTCCATCGCTACATAGCTGAGCATTGAGTCCACCAGCTGGAACATCCGTAATCGTTCCTCGCCATCGTGCGCACGCATCAGCAAGAGATGCTGCAAAGCAGACACAAAGTAGTCGTTCGTCTTGCTTCCATGCAGTCGATGAGTGATGGCTTCAGCAATTTGAACTGGGTCAGTCAAGTCCTTAACATCTCCTTCCACGTTGTCCTTGATGCTGCTATTCTCTCGTTCCAGCATGTCCTCATAGTCGATAGCTTCATTTGTTCGATACCTCTCGATTTGCTTGTCGAGGTAGTCGTACTGGAATCCCTCCATCTTACTCAAAATACGCTTGATCCCACATGCTGTAAACTGCGCCCGGATATGGATTCGCAGTTCAAGATCTCTCTCAGGGGCGTCTACCAACATGTTGACCAAAATCAGTGTCGCCAGAGCGTATTCCATGAGCAGGTTCTCCATTCCAGTACCACCCGTTCTGAGCTCCTCACTTGCGCCAACCAGGCTACCCATCTTGCCTCGGCCATCGAGCGTAACCTCAACAAGACGCATCCAAGAATCAAATCGGCCATTCTCGCCAGACTGAGCTTTGACTTCGTCGAGGGCCTGGATGACTTTCAAGTGGCCATCCCCATTATTACCCCATGTGCAGAGGAAAGTGAGGATTTCGCTTGAGAGTTTACGTGTTGAAAGACGAGCCGAAATCAAGGAGGTCCCCAGGGCCGCCAGAACTTTTTGATGTGCCAGGGCATTGTCGGCGCCGAACTTGTTGTTCATCAACGCCTTGAGACATTTGATAATATCATATTCCTTCTCGTGATTCTTGTCGACCCTGTGGTTGTCCTGCGCTGGTCCGAATGATGTCTTTCGGTTCAATTTGAGGAGAAGGGTCACCAAAGCAACCTGACCCTGACATTCCACGAACCGCTTGACCCAGCCGATTTGTTGTGTACGCAAGTTAACCTCCAAACTTCCCATACCCTTCGAGTCCAGCTTGTCTTCCATTACCCTTCTCACATAGAACTCGGGAGTCCCCTCTTCGTCAGAGTAGGTGGTAATATCAGGAGTTGCGTATTGATTTGGCCGTGCTGATTGTCTGCGCTTCTGTTCCCCTTGCCACTCAGTCAGGCGGTCCTGGTGCAGCAACATCCACTTCTTCTGGGAAGGGTAGGCCACCATTTGCCTTCTGGCCTGTTCCGGGAGGTTGTGCCATCCTCGCTTCTGCATGAGCTGCAGGAACATCTCATCCACCACACTATCGTCGTCGGGCTTTGGGAAGTGGAAGCCATCGTGGGAGCCCGAGGAGGCCGGCAGTTTTGTAAAGCGGTGAGTAGCGTCCCGGGGTGAGAAGTGAGCCGAATTATCGACCCGAGGTGAGAAGTGGGAGGAGTTGTCTCGAGGCGAGAAATGTGAGGAGTTATCCCGGGGTGAAAAGTGGGAGGTGTTGTCTCGGGGAGAGAGGTGCGAACTCTGGGAAGAGACGGTTGGGTTGGCTGCTTGAAGTGAGCGAAACGTCCATCTGGAATCTTGGGTTGTTTGGATTACCTGAATATAAGCTCGCATTATCTAGAGACTGGTATGAATCATAGCGCGATCCATTGGCGGAGCTGGCAGTGCTTGCTCTTGGGTGCCCCCATGGCTGATACTGGCCCTGTCTCCCATTTCCCGGCGAGAGATGTGGTGAGGCCTGCGCAGACCGTGGCGCAGAGCCATAATCGCGGGCAGGCATGCTGGATGGGTCGAACGAGGGGTACTGGTGGAAGTCGACGCCGCCTTTATTCAGATGGTGCGGCAGGGGATCTCTATGCACAGGGACTTGGTCCCCTTTGGGCAGATACTCGACGGCGATGGGGGTCTGAGAACCGTCGTACGGGATAGAGGTAAGGACGCCGGCGGAATGGTTGATCTGTGGGTCGGGTGAATACGGTAAATCTAGAGAAACGCTGGAAGAATCTCGCTTGTGTCTTGATGTACGGGAGTTTTCGTATGGATATGAGTCGGGTGCGAGGCTTGCGGCGTCGTTGGCTCGCTTGTCCTTGTTCTTCCCTCGGGAGAAGATCGAACGTGCTCCTGATGACTGCCTAGTCTTGTCCGCCGACATTTCGAGCAGACGGATGAGCAGTCAGGCGGGTTAGGCCAGGCTAGATGTGATTATGGTCAATCGTCAGGGCGGCGGGGGGCAGCCTACAGCCGCTCGCATGTTGGAAGAGACAGGAGGACCCAATCTTTGCCGTGCGGGCTGGCAGGTAGTCGGGCTTGGTCTGACAAGAGCTTGGGGCCGTTCGCATCAGATTCCCCAGGGCTGGCTGCGTGAGCCTGAGAACCGTGTTCGTGATGATGTGGAGCGGAAAAAGTATCGTACGGGGTACAGGATGGGAGTGTGTGGTGTTGAATCCGCCGCCCTCCAGATGGAACCTCCACCATATCTCGTTACGACGTAGCGGAGATGGATGCACCTTCAGGGACTACAGGTAGGTAGCACCAAGGCCTTTGGTGAGCTACACGCTTGCAACTGAGTCCCCTCCCGCTATGACCTGCTGAAAGGGTCTTAGGCCAGCACCTCCATTAGTGGGAAGCATTGGGTTGGGGCGTGCACAGACGGACGGCCACTTAGTTTGTAAGCGCAGGTACTTGGTCAGAGGAGGAAAGCCCCCACGCGCACAAGTACCCTCCGGAGCGATGTGCCTACCTAGGTACTATCTTTAGGTTCAATCAGTTCTTATCAGCACTGCACTTGGACCTGTGCCGTCGCCATTGCCGACAGTCAGAACATCTACCTGCTAATCGATGTCCAGCTGGTACTACAATACACGCTCCTGCGCTTGCCCCAACTGATCCAAGAGTGACGTGTGCGAGTTCTGCATCACACTAACACGCACGCACAGAAAAAGGGCTAGGGATGCGGTATCTTCACGGATAAAGGCAGCGGGAGGATTTGTGACCTGATTCGTGTGAAGGGCTGGGACCCCTGAATGACAAAGACGGGTCTGGACGCTGCATACTCCATCCAGGGGATGGCCATGCCGACCATTTTAAGCAAATCATATCCGAGCGTCTGACGTACAATTTCCAATATCATGGGGACCTACAAGCTGAGGTGCCTCCTCTGGGAGTTATCGAGCCTGCCATCGCAAAGCAGCATTCCAAATCGAGACGGGCGCATATCGTACCCAGGATAGAGTTTCTGTTTCCTGCTCAAATGATCGCCCAGTTGGCCCATACTTACCTAGGCACCGCGCTCTCAGTCCTCACAAATTTTATTCACATAGCACCATTTCAGTTTCCATCTCACCGGCCAGATCTATCTCTCTCTTACTTCTGAAACACTCACAGCAAAGGGAGGGGGAATAGCCCGCATGAAATGCCTCGCGGGGAAGACGAGGATCAACAGCTAGCAACCAATGCGCCAATCCTCATCCTTGTTGCATGGAGCTATGTAATTGCCGAGCCCACCTAGTCCCATTTTCGGTCATTGGAGATGCAATTTAGACCAAATTTCCGATCCTTTCCTTTGTAATCCCATGGTGCTTTACTTCAGATGAGCAAATGTCTCCCTTGTTTCCATCATTGCTCCGAGCCCGTCCTCCCCAGCATCACAGACCACCCGTGCGGATCATCACAAACTTGGAAGTGCTTCAGCCGTACGCGGTAATGTAGCCACTACGCCCTGGTATCAACTTTCCGTAAGCAAGATCTCGCCAGCACCACGACATGGGAATATTACCATGCCATGCCTTGTTCAACCATGACCAAAATATATTCTACCAACCGAAATGGTTCGGTGATGGAGCTCCTCGTCGCGCCGCAACATCACAAATACTAATAATTCTATACATCGAGAAGCTCCCTATTCGACCCAACTGACCGAATGAAAAGAATGGAGCCAGTACATACACTCGTGTCGATCAAATCTACACTGCCTGTAGCCTCACCATGAATGGTTCCGTCACACGATACCTACGTAATACCAGGGAACCGCTCTAGGATGCTCATCTGACCGAAGCACCAGCCGGCTCAAGTCCGCACCCCAACTTATTCTCAGCCAGATTTCGTCTCTTGACGTTATAGGCGAGCCGGTTTAGTCGATAGCAGGAACGACTCTTCTAAGGATGGCTTTGATATGCGTTCAAAAACGGTCAACGGTGAAACGCCAATCTTTCACTATCGGAATGTTACGTTACCTGCATCGGTTTCTGGCAATGATTCATTGCCCACCCTCTCTCCCAGCTTACACCACATCTTACCTCGCCGCCAGACCTCAAATAGCATATTTCCAGTGACAGTCTCCGAGGTAGTCTAAGGCGCGGCCAAGTACAAGGCACAAGTCCATTTCAAAGGTAAGCCACCATCGGATGAAACTAATCCTTCCGGGAACCCAATCCTTGATGGCAGCCGGGTGACGTTGAATTTGAGACATTGGATTATACTGCCTATTTTCGAGTCTGTGATCAGATTATTATGCGTACCTACTCAAGAACCAACATGTTAAATAATATTTTACAAATTTAGAGGTCGGCCAATGAGGTTTCTTGTATCCTCATCGGGTGAATGAAGAAATACTTAGGTAGAAGTAGGTACAAAGTGTATAACTCACGCATCAAGGCTCCGATAACATCCTTCAATATCCCACGTTTTATCACCCTCTCGGCAAGGTTCTCCGTCTGCACCCCATGCAGATTCATCGTGTTAGACTGCACTGCATGCCTGCCACGAGTCTCACCTTTCCTCAGGCCGGGAAAGTGTAGCGTGGCATCGGAGCGGGTTCAGCGGGACCCCAAAGAGCCTACGCAATGGGGCTGAATCCAGCCCGAGCGCCACCTCAGCTGCCTGCAGGTAATTAGCGGCCCCCGGGACCTGAAATCGGCCTGCCACTTACCTCAGTAACCGTGCTCGAGCCATCCCGACTGAGGCTCTGCAACGTCACTCTCTTGTTTACCCCCAGAGGGAGAGAGTGTGAGAGCTCGCACAACTACCAGAGACCGAGTTCGCGAGCGACCGCTCCAAAAGACACAACCATGGGGGAGAAGCTATCGGTAGTCAAGGTATGCTCCAAACCTTACCGCGACCTAATAGCAGCCACCAGCTTGCTCGTCATCGACGAACCCGACTGCTAACCCGCAGGAAACAGACGCTCGTTATCCCGGCCATAGTCTCCCTCCTCATCTTCCTCCTCCTAACCTACATCGTGATCCCTCTCTACCGCCGCTACAACCAGTACATCCCGCTCGGCTCCGTGTCCCCCGTCTCCCTCCGCGACCGCCTCTTGACACGGATCGCCGCCATCGCCAACCGGAGGGAGGATAGTTACCTCAACCCGGATGCCCAGACCATCGACCACGACGACGAGCAGATCGACGAGGGGGAGGAGCTCGGCGACGTCGACGATCATATGCGGCTTGTCATTGCGAGCCATGCGCGTGCCACAAGGCAAGACACGACTAGGCGGTTGAGCAGAGAGTATGTTGTACTCCTTCCATCTTCATCCCCAGCCCTGCGAGTCCGACCGTTGTAACATTCAATCTATAGTTTAGAGGAGGGTTTCCGAGACGATAGCGATGACGAGGCGCCACCACGTCGATAGACTATTACCAGACCAAAATAATAATGACTTCTCACTCTGCATGATTGTTGCCTACCAAGCTCATACCAAAGCCCATGCCGTTCTTGCTTTTAACATCCCCTTCGCAAGTGACATGATTCAAGCATGACTAACCTAAAAAGCATGAAAAGGTAGGGACAGGCACAGGCAAGGGCGGCGCAAATCTGAACCTGAGTGCCCGCTGTGATTGCTATTCGAAATACTACATTTAATCGCTATGGATTCCCGCACAATAACTTTATGGTATCCTGACAAAGAAGTTTTAACAATATTAGTTCATCAGGGAATGGTCGCCACCCAGACCGCTGTTTTATCAACGAAACCTCGTTCGGACCTGGTTACTTCCAAGATTCCGATCACGACCATCTTATCCGTTCATTCCTTAATCACCGCCCTTGGTCTTAGGTGTACGCTTGAAAAACCTGAGGAGAGACTTCTCTCGTACCTCAGGCACTGTGGTGCCTCTTGCTGCATCGTTGAACTCCTTTTGCTTCTCTTCGACATATTCTCTCTATAATCTGTCTAATTGAGCTTGATACCTGCGATAGCGATATCCATATACGCGGTTAACAACCCGAGTGCAGAAACCAGGGGCGAAAGGCACAGATCCCGCAGTCCGGATAGCCCTCTGGTGTTTAGCTTCAGTGTCTGTTATCTTGTTGGTCATATTCAGTCCTTCAACAGTCTCGCAGTAGGCGCATCTCCATTGAATACAGTCTGCTGTGGTGCTTTGGAATAGTGGTCCACCCTGTTGCATCTGTGGGATTGCCATGTGGCCGCAAGAATGGCGCAATGGCGCGCAGTTGGGCTGCGGGCATCCGACTTGGTTCGGATCCGAGAGGTATCTCATGAGGCAGACATGCCCAAAGGAGTGCCCACAGGGAATGAAAAGCCGAATCTCTCGGACACCATCATCATTCAGCACATCGATCTCATAGCCGCTAAACGAGCAGTTTGGGGGACGAGGTGGGTCGTTGTTGCCAACACCATTGACACCGCCAATCACTCCTCTGGGTTGGTTTTCCATCACAAGGGTCGGGTCGGATGAATGGGCAGTGATAGATTCGATGCTCTGAATGTGCAATCCAGTAGCCTTTGGCTCCCTGAGATTCCCTGGATCAGAGTCAGCCTCAGTCGAACCGCCCTTGTTCTGAGATTCCGAACTATTCTTTGCTGTTTCGCCGTTCTCAGCCTTATCGCAAATTTCCTCTATCTCCAGGCTGCCCCTCCGTTTCCCATTGTTTTGGGTCTTGCGGAGAGCTGCGGACGATGAACCCTCTTCTGGCCGAAGATCAGGAGTACCAGAGCATTCTGGCTCTGACGCCCGCTTCCTAATACTAACTATTTTTGGAAGTGAGTGCGAGCTCGGGGTCTGGTCGTCGTTCCGCCCTTCACGAGACCGTTCTACTCCTGTCCTCCTCCTCCTGATACCAACTGCTCTTGAAAGTGAGGGTGAGCTCTGGACCTGATCGGTATTCCCACCTTCTTCAGCAACCTAAACTTGGTTGGCAGGAGCTGAAGAGTCAGGTGCTAGGTTTGTTTGTGTAGACGCGGTCTTTACATGGGTTGTATCCGAATCGGTATCTGAAAGTGGACAACTTTCGCCCTTCGAGGCTTGTTCCTGGGCGGCCATTGTTATGAGATGATGGTGCGTAATTGGCAACGCAAGCCCGAGATCTCAAAGGGCAGAATCTAGCGGGAGACTTGAAGACTCCGAGATCACCGCTGAATTACTGTCCTAAGAATCTCCCAAGCCGAAAGATCCGACCAAACTGGGGCCAAGATTTGACTTGTGATCCAAATGGTATTGGGATCTTGGAGAGCTTCACGAGTGTGCTTCTCAGACACGGCACGAAGTCTAGGCTAGCCTGGGCAAAAAAAATGGTGAGAAAAAGGAGCACACTCGGACTGGTGGGCCTTTTCACTTACCTTTGGGTCGTAGATAGGTTCAACAATGTAGGCAGTGTGAACGTGCGGGTGACGAGTCGGGATCAAACCTCGGTTTGAAAATTGGTCGATAATTCCGAATTGATTTGGCCAGGGCCGAAAGTAACGACACCTGATTCGTATAATGACCTCGGTCGTGCGGACCAAAGAAAATACTCTTCAAATAAATTTGCTGCTGCGCAAAGGTAACAATGGCTGTTGATATGAATTGTTGAAGAGTATGGAGAATGTTTGCAGAGCCAAATAAAATCGCCTGCTTTTGTTTACACCAGACTTCAACTCCTTCCCTTTTGAATACCTGGCTTCCTTGGGGCAAGTTCAATCAATCTTCACAAAGGTTGGAAGGTCCAATTCGAGACGAAGCTCTCACGACCCAATGTGTTTAGGTTGGTTTAGACCTTTGAAGTAACGTCTTCTCTCTACCTAGGTATGGACGGTAGAAATATCCCAAGACGGGACAATAAATAAAAAGCCAAGCCTATCCATTATTCGGTACATCAACTACCAAGGCAAATAAGTCTACAGTGTTGGCAGATATGGAGTCTCAAAGCAGAGGGGGAGGGTATAGGGTAGTCAGGTTTGAGCGACGATCAGGCACTGGCGCCTTCCCACATGAGAGAAGAAGGCTGAGACTAAGCGACTGCCTTTCATCAAACCTTCCTTCCTCATATGCCTGCCTTTCTGTACTGAAAATGCGATTCCGGACTGAATTGAAGAACATTAAAACATTTTCGAGTGAGTAGTATTGGCCTCCATGTCAGCCCTTGCTCTCTAAACCGGAGATTATTCCCATCGTGAAGACCACAGGGCTGACCAATTGCCTCCACATCGTAGAACTCACGGCAGCGCTTGGATCTCTCGAGAAAATTGCCTGGGTGCGCCTTAGCGATGAGACCGTAAGATTCACTGTGATCCCTGATATGGGATCACAAGTCTGGGCGTAAGTCGATGCCACTCCTGTAGTCAGGCAATGTTGATCCTCTCGCTAGGTACTTTCTATTGCTAACGTATCTGCCTGCGTCACCAGCTCGCTTTCCATGGACTTCCTCTTTGGCAAATACATCATCCAGTCAAATGAGGAAAACAACAACATTGACCTTGAGCTGCCGCTCCAGCCTCTTCAACGGGCCCTCAAATCCGCTCGTGATGGGATGTCGGCCACGCTGGGCCTGACAAAGAGCGACGGGATTCCCGTGCTCCGCATGACAATCAAGACCACGACCTCCAACTCTGCAAATGGGCCGTCCTCCACCAAGCCCCCCACGGATGACCCATATGCTGACCCCGACGACGAGGTCTTCCAGAAAGAACACCTGGAAACCCCCCTCCGTAGGAAGCACGAGAAGATCATCACACAGGATATCCCCGTGCGAGTCCTCCACCCCGAGATTGTAGAGACCATCATGCAGCCCAAAGTCCGCAACCCGGACGTCCACATACAGCTGCCCCCGCTTCTGCAGCTCAAGGCCATCTCTGACCGCTTCACGAAGCTCGCACTGTCATCGTCAAACGCTCCCAAGGCACCCAAGCTCGAACTCAGCGCCAACATGCACGGAGATTTGCGCCTGCGGATCCAGACTGAAACCATAGATATATCCAGCTCCTGGTCGAACTTGGAGAACCCCGAGCTTGACCCCCAGCAGCTCGACGTCCCCCTCGAAGAACACCCAAGCACAAGGTTTCGGGAGGAAGGGCCAACCCGCTGGGCCACCGTCCGCGTGGATGGCAAGGACTGGAGTAAAGTGTTGAGCGTTGGCCGATTAGAGGGCCGTGTCATTGCTTGTTTTGCGGATGACCATGCCCTCATTTTATATGTTTACGTTCCGCATTACGACGAGGTCATGGCTGATGAGTCCGTTGTCACTGTAAGTGCAATGTTCCTATCTATCCTTTTTCCGTTTGTACAATCAGCTAATGCTATTACTAGTACTACGTACAATCATATAGTTCCTAAGCTGCTCTACATTGAAGAGCCCTTCAGTAATATTGAGGCTGTATGGATCCTTCTGGTGTTGGGGACGGAAATCTGTGGCGTTGGTTTGTTTTCAAGATTATTCAATGATTAATCATGGGCTGCATTGTATTCAAGCAATGAAAGAAAAGGCTAGGCTAAAGATATTTTAAAAATGCAAAAGTTAACATTATTCGCTCTATTGGACTGCGTCCGTATATATATCTATTACAGCAATGTACAAGTTTCAAACCCATAGTGTAGTTGGTACAAGTTTTATAAAATTTCCAAAATAACGCCTGCGATGGAGCTTGGTTCAGCCCGATCACTCTTTCGCCATAACATCGACATACCGGCCACTCTTCCTGGTCTTCTTTTGCCCAGGCTTGCGCGGCGCGGCAGCACCGATCAAATCATCGATGCTGCTGGCATTGCTCATGCTCGTTGCAGGCCGGGCAGGAAGTGTATTGGCCGAGTACCCGGAAGGAGGGGCTGCTGAGGAGGGCCTTGGAGGAGACTTGAGCGATGGTGCAAGGCTGTCGCCCGACTCAGTTCTGAAATCAGGGGTAGGGCCGGGAGTAGACACAGACCGTGGGGGAGGTCCGGAATGGGGAGAACCCATAGGTGGTGGAGGAGTGCCTGGGGGAGGCGTGCTGGTAGCAGAACGAGGTGCACCTCTGGGAGGAGGAGGTGTACCCTTCTTTGCCTCCACATTTTCCGCACCAGCCTTCTTGTTGACCCATCTCTTCAACTCAGTGTCATAAACAAATGTACTTTGTTCGCCTAGTTTGGCTCGGACATATTTCGTCTCTTTGGAGTTCAAATCTCCGGGCTTCGGTGATTCGGCCCGCTTGCCAGCCCCAAACCAGCTGGACAAACCCCAGCCCTTCTTCGCACCCTTTTGTTCAGCCTCGCGTTTAGCTAAATACAACGTTAATGACATTTCCTTATTTTCACGGCTAGTGATGCTGGTTAACTTACCATCCTCTTCAGCGGCTTTGCGGAACATCTCTTCGTTTTCACGATCTTTGTCTGACTTGGACTTGTCTGCCTTTAGGGCAGAAATGTCATCATCCTCATCATCCATAAAGTTTCTCCTCTTGGGTTTGGAGCCATCAGTCTCCGCCTCAGCCGAGGGATTTTCATCAGGCTGATATGAAGGTGGCTCGTATCCATAAGGCTGGAACGAAGGTGGTTCATATCCACCAGAAGCACCTTCCTCAGTATTTTGAGTGTTGCCATTTTCTTGGGGGCTTGCCGTTGATGCATTCGTTTGGGTAGGCTCGTACCCAAAGGAGGGCGGTGCGTAAGAATTTCCTGCAGAGGGTGCATCTGAAACGGTGGCAGATGAGAATGATGGGATAGTGGCTGGCTCTGAGATGCCTAAAGGTTGGTAAAATCCGGTATTTGATATCTGGGAGGTTGGCGAAAAGGCATCGGTCGAAGTGCTCTGGGGCTCGCCATATGAAGTTGGTTGATAACCCTGGAATGAGCTAGAAGCTGGTACATATGGGCTACCTTGAGGCGGAGCAGCCCCAGCGTGGCCTGGTTGTTCACTGGCACCAGGATAACCGGGATATTGTCCTGAGCCTGATGTTGCCTGAGTGTTTTGAGACGAGGGGTCGTAAGGGTTCCCTGATCCTATCAATGGAGTAGTTACCGGGGCGTACTGCGATGATGCGTTGTAGGGGTTTGTTGACCCTATTGATGGAGTAGCAGCCGGTGCATACTGTGATGTCGGTTCATAGGGATTTCCTGATCCTATCAACGGCGTGGCTACTGGCGCATATTGCGAGGGTTCGTAAGGATTTCCCGATCCTGCTGGCGGCATAGCAACTGGTGCATAGTTGGAAGCTGCAGGCAGGTTCGACATATAACCAGGAGCTGCGGCCCCGAAATTCTCAAAGTTCGTCATAGAAGGTGAGCGGCTAATTGTGGGCGTCGTGGCGATGCGGGCAAAAGGGCTCTTCTCATTCTCAGAGGCAATGTTGGCGCCGTTGGCATCAACCTTGTCTCCGGTCACGAACTGGTTGAATGTGTGCCACACACTGTTCATATTAGGTTTCGAAATCCAGGACGAACTTTCTTCCTTGGGTACTTGACTGAGCCGGGTCATGAACTCTTCGACGAGAGCCCCAAGAACCATTGTGTAGTAAGGTGACCTCTTAGCGTTCGAAGATATGGTGGTTAAAAGTGATTCACAGTACTGCAATGCCTTGTCTCGGTATCCGTACTCTGCCAGGGACAGAGCCTGGTGAAACTTGTAGGCGGCCAGATGAGGTGCGCCCGCTACAGCTCCTGCCAGCGACATACCATATTCGTAGACCTCGGTAAGTTGGATAGACTCACTGTCTTTGACAAAGTAAGAGTTGTGTTGTCTTTGATCAGAGCCAATGAGAACGATGTTAGAGGCTGCATCATCTGCCCCTCCAAATACTGAAACGGTGCGACTGAAGATGAAGCAAATATGGGCAGCCTCGATACGTCCATACCCAGCGAGTAGGTTTCCAAGCGCACTTAATCCACGTATGTCATCAGCGCTGCGGTTACTCAAGACGAGTGCCAACGTCTCCTGCCATTTGTCCAATCCACTGATGGTGTCTTTGACCGGCCCTGCATCCGTTGTTGACATCAGACGCAAACCAGCACGAGCATGTGAGGGGACCATTTCATCGACACAGTCGTCGTGGTTGCCTGACAAGATCATGTAGAGAGTAGCCAAAGATTCGTTATTGTGGCCTTGGTTTACCTCATTTCGAACAAATTCCTGTGCAACTCGCTTGTACAGCACCGGAGAGACGGTATTTGCGATCAGCATCGCATGCCCCCACATCCGTTTATCAACAGCGGCCCAGATGGCGTTCTCCTTGTCGCCTTTCAAAAGAGACTCACGTATCTGGTCCATGGTCGCACTGTCTGCACCATCTGCTCGCATTGAGGGAGACGGTCCAGTGGAGAGACCCAGACCTTTATCTGGCGAGTAAGAAACACCGTTGATGGACGATGACCCAGTTATGTTTGGAGATAGCACCTCCCGAACCGCTTTTTCAACAGCTGGGGTGCCCTCCAGAGTTCCGTCATGCTCTATGAAGACTCGTAGGATCTTCCACAAAAGGATCTTTTCTATCTGTCGCTTCGCTTCGAATGAAAGCTCCGTGTGGAATGGAACGCTGGGGAGCTCCTTCTCGAGCTCCTCAATCCCTGAAGTTAACCAGGCGATTGTTTCCTTCTTCTTAGATTTACCTTTCAGGGGGCCGGGGAACTTGGCAATCCGGTCCGAAAGGGGTTCAACGTCTTTGATGCTCCTGACTTTGACCTCGCCGGGGGCTCGGGATACGGTGGGAGTCGAGGAACCCATTGCGTACCTGGGGATACTCTTAGGAAATGAGGTGACAATGGTCCCCCCGACTCCCCATGAAATGATTGGAGCACCTTTCCAGCGCTGCAACTGATCACGCTCACGTCCATCAGTAGGCGGGACCATAATCATATTCAGAGATGTTCCCCTAGCTCGGTTATGTGAGTGCACCGCTGTGGTTCGCTTTGATTCTGACGCAGAATGCATGGGGGGGCGGGAAGCGGCTTCTGGCATTGGTGCAAAGGAAACACCACCTGGAGATTGAGTTGATGGTCTTGGGGGAGGGACGAACCCGGGATGAGCAGCCCCCGGAACATAATTTGAACTGGAATGCCGAGGGGGTGACAAAGTTGCCGAGCCAGCCCTAGAGGCTGAAGGTGGTGGGGTTTGACGCGACGTAGGAGGAACTGAGCTGTTCCGTGGTTCTTGAGTGATACCCAACGATACCCCTGCCACGGACTGATCATCTTCCTCATCGACCTCTCGTGTGGGCGGAAGAGATGGCATACGGTTCAAACGGGGTTCAAAAGATGAGCTGCTCAAACGGCGCTCTCTGATATGACCGCCTTCGGTGTTGGTCTCGAAATGAGCCAGAGGGCTCGAGGTCCTGGGGAGGTGAGTCAATGCAGGAGAAGCACCAGAGACAACCCGAGTTGGGCTGTAGCCGCTCACTTGACGAGGAGCAGGCGGGGCAGGCGAATATCGGGAGCCGACGGCTGGTGGGACGCCAGCCATATGCCCATGGTGAGCTGGTGCGGGAGAGTACCTCGAAGCCTGGTTCGCGGGTGGCGGAACTGCTTGGGAAGGATGTTGTAGGGAGGCATAAGGATTGGTTTTTTCGGGGGCTACCAGATTTGCAATCCCAGATGGTTGAGGTGTTGGTTCCGATGGATGCAAAGGCGCTGCAGGAGCAAGACTCGGTTGTTGCCCGAGGGGATGCATCGACATGGGAGGGCCTTTCGGTGGGCTCATGGGAGGAGCTGGAGATTCGGTGCGCATGCTTTGTCTCGATGCCGTCCGCGGTTTCGAAGTCATAGGCAGCTCCTCGAAGAAACTACTGTTGCTGCGGGATAGGGGTGTCATTGGCTTCTGGGAGGGAGTAGATGGAGGATGGGAGCCAGCCGGTGGTGGAGCCGGAGAGTTCATGCTTGCGCTTCTTGATGGAGGAGGCGGAGGTTGTGATCCAATGGATGGGGAGCGACTTGATGTCGCGCTGGGCCTTCTGCGAGACTTGGGGACGCTGGCGGCTATATCAGAAGGGAGGTCATAAGGTGAAGAATAGCCTCCCTTCGATTTATCGGCGAAACTTTGTGCCTTCGTAGGTTCTGGAACTGGCTGGGCAGCTGGAAATTGAGCATGTTGTTGTGGTGTGAAGTTGGTTGACGATCCTGGTTGGGAGTAGAATGGCGACGAAGATACCGCAGGAGCAGGAGAAAACCCATGGGCATTTTGAGGTGCATACGGATTCGAAACTGAGGCCTGTCGTGATGGTGGTTGGATCGGCGGCGCTTGGAAAGCTGTAGGAGGCTGTGTCTCCTCCTCATCGTCCTCAAGAAGGCCCTCATCATCGCTGCCCAAAAAGGCTGCAGGGTCAACCTCTTCGGCACCATTTCCAGCATTATCCAGTAGAAAGCCACCATCTTCATCGTCATCACCAAAGGCCTCTTGCCATTTCGCATCCATTCCCCCAGAATTGGCCGGCTTGTCTCCAGATTCTTCTTCCTCAAGAGTGGTATCCATGGTCTTACGGGGGGAAAGGAGGTCCGACTCAAACCCTTGTAAAACCTGGCTTGTTGACTTGCGTTCCAGTGGGCGAATGGTTTGTTCATTGTCTACCGCTTGAGTCTGAGCTTCGGTAGCTGTCGAAGCAAAGAAATCATCGCCGTTTTCATCATTGTCACCAAAAAAATTGGATGATTCATCTGCCACAGCGGCCTTGCTCGGGCTTGCTGGGGCATCCGATCCTTGCTCAGCTGAAAGCAATGGCAAACCTTCCTCATATCGTGCGTCAGCCACTTCGCCCTGGAAGCCTTGCACGTTGCCACCGATCGAGTGCGACGGACGGTGCCGGGTGCGAGGGAGGCCTGACGCCGTCGCAGGAGCATCGGATGACGTTTCTTGCGATTGGTGAGGGTATTCCGAATCTGAAGGATCCTCGGGGTCCTCCAAAATATCAACCGTCTGGTTCAATGCTGAGGAGTTGCCTCCATGAGACGGGGCTATCGGCGGAACTTCCGGGAACGAATTTGATCGATCTGAAGGACCCATGAACTTGAATGGATCGGTGTTGGATCGCGATAGGTTCCAATCTCCATCTTCATCATCGTGGAAATTAAGTTCATGTGAAACTGTACGAGCGAAAGACATTGAACTCGAGTGTTGCGCATTGGTAGCCGAAGGAGTCTTTTCATTAGTTGCTGCAGATGGGGTATCGTTGGGTTGTGAGAATGTTGCGGTCTGTTCGGAGGGCAGCCAGGCACCACCTTGGACGTGCTCGTGCTCGTTGTCTGCTTCTGCTGTGAATGATTGGTCATTCTCGGAAATCAGAGTAGCGTCGAGATCCAAGTGGTCAGGTTCAGGCTCTAATGGCGTGCCATTGTGGAGCGAGTCCGGGGACCCGGGTGGTGATTCTTTGGCTTGCGACGAGTCGTTGGCTGTTGACGCAGCAGCATCGTGGTTGGGCATGAGTGCAGGGTGCCATGCAGAACTTGGCTGATCGGCAGCCATACTGAATGTGTATTAATCGAAAACCCGGACTAAAGAATAATAATAATAAACGAAGGAGACAGCAGAAACAATGCCGCTGGAGCTGCTGGAACGCGACGAACACGCATTAGCTCAGGCCGGAGCGAAAGGGGGAGTGGTCGCAAATGATGCAGCACATGCAGAGGTCGATACTCACTCAGACGATGACCATATAAACGCTGCGCCCCGTTATATGATGATGCCGGCCACCATATCCAGCGCGACAGAGGCAAGAACAAAGGGATATAATCAATTACGTGAATGGCCCGGCGATGAAAAGTGACAGTTGGCCTGTCCCGAAATTTAGGAGACTGGTGTTGCAAGACAGATCTGGCTTATCGGGATCTAAGCAGCTCGCCCCTACCCACTGTGGTTAGCCCGGAATTTATCCGCCTAGCATTCTTGAGATTGTACGCCCATAATTAATTAATTACGTCGTTTGTCTTGTAGGGATTATGCATTTGCCCTGTCTCACCTTCTGCATGGTCTTCAAGCATGGCCTGTCCCGAGTTAATTAGCTGGATAACATTAACTTGATGGTTGACATGAACGCGTTTAGTTTTGGCCGACAGTACCTACCTCTTACCAAGGGACCCAGCCGGCTGCACTACCTATTTCGACCAGGAGTCACAAGAGCCGATCTGCAGGCAGCTTGCTTGCTTTAGCATGCCACTAAAACTCTCGGCAGTGGCCTGGCTGATGGTTATGTGAGGTGCTACAATTGACCCTGTCGTATTTCGCCATTATTAGGTTTATTACTCTTGTAAACAAGTACAGGACCAATGCGGAGGTGAATGCTAAAAACCATAAAAGCCGAAATCCAAGATGCTTATGGATGATGAGCCTCAAAGAAGAAAGACCACTAGTCCCTATGCTCATAAAAATCCCATGTGAAAAGGCATTGATAACCTTCATCGTCTGTTGGACTAGTGATTTTCATGCATGGACATGACGCAGCTGTACAGGTCATCCGCTGCACCCTGGATTCCGTGTGTGTGTGCCTGTGGTAGGCCTGCGGCACTGCTCCAGGCAGCTAAGAAATCAGCTGCGGTACCTGGCCTACCCGGTAGCATGAACCGTTAATATGGGCCAGCGTATCCTCAAGCAAGCAAGACTTACACCCATCTTGCTATCTAACTAAAATCCAACGAATAGCAGGACCTACCATCCTAACGTGGCTTCTACTTATGAACTCGCAGGCATAACCAACCGACCACACTTGCGCAACTGTCCTATCCTCGGAACTGGACTGCTGCTACACCGAGCCCTGGGCGTCGATATCGACGGGCTCTCGCAAGCGCTATCTCGCCGCTGAAACAAGCTACATTGGTCTCGCATCGCACGCATCGTCAGATAACTTGGCACATCATGTTGATAGCCCCCTGAACTCTCCCCGCCTTCGACCATCAACGCGATATCTTCAAGTTCTGATGCGGCATGTCTTCCTCAACACCGCTTCGACCGAATGATCCGCCCGATTCTCCAGCGCACGACTCCGACTCGGATCTTGACCTAGACGTCAACGAGCTTGACCCTATTTCAACAGAACCGACCGAAGGTCCTTCAGGAGGGCGAAACATCGCAGAGCGCAGGACGTCAAGAATAGCGTTACGGAACTTGCGCATGGGTGGAGTCCGCCGTGTCAATACCAGAGGTCGCGGGTATGGCGAGCTGGGCCAGGATAGGGAGGAATGGGACGCCGACACCGAGGGCTTGCTGGCCGATGAAGAAAGAGATGACCGGGAAGGAGACCGGAGTCCTCTGCTCGGGGGCGAAACTACCCCCTTGCGTCCGACGAGGAGGCCATCGTTAAGACTCCCTAGCTTTCTGTCGAGGAGTAGAACACCCCAGGCCGATGCGCCCCGCGACCAGGACGATGCCAACATCGAAGAAGAAGACGATTCGTCCGATTCACGGCTGGTCGCGGTCGGCTCTCGCCAGGGGACAAAATTTCCTCACAACGTTATCTCGAACGCAAAGTACACAGCATTCACTTTTCTTCCTGTCACACTTTACAACGAATTCTCCTTTTTCTTCAATATGTACTTCCTTCTGGTTGCCCTTTCGCAAATAATACCTGCATTGCGCATTGGCTACTTGACGACTTACATTGCCCCGTTGGCATTTGTCCTGGCGATAACAATGGGAAAGGAAGCATACGATGACATTGAACGACGGAAACGAGACACCGAGGCGAATTCGGAATCATACACCATCCTTAAATTTGACGAGCCACACACTGCCGCACACGCCCCGCGACAGCAACGCACGATGAGATCAAACGGCATGAGGACAAGCCAGAAGAGACCTAGGACAAGCCGGCAGGATTTAGCCGACATTCGGGAAGAAGAGGACAATGGGACTGGGATGTTCGTTCCTTCGTCGAAGGTACAGGAGGTTCAGCGCAAATCGAAAGATCTCAAAGTGGGAGACGTCCTCAAGCTCACAAAAGGGCAGCGAGTACCCGCGGACGTTGTGATTCTCAAATGTTGCTCTGCTGAGGGGGCTCACACCAGTTCCACGGAGACGGAGGATGAAGCATTGCTTCCCCTTGATGACGCGGATAGTTCGCCAAAGGCCAACGGGAAGCAACCAGATACTGACAAGGCCGAAGACGAAGAAGAAGAAGAAGGGGGGGCTGCCGGGGAAACCTTCATTCGAACCGATCAATTGGACGGCGAGACGGACTGGAAACTGCGACTTGCTTCGCCTTTGACACAAAGCCTTGAGCCCGAGGAATTTGTTCGCCTGCGGGTAACTGCTGGTAAACCGGATAGGAAAGTAAACGAGTTTTATGGGACTGTCGAACTTGTATCATCCAGGGCAGAGGCTCTGAGCCAGCAGACGTTGTCGAACTACGATGGCGAGGGTGGCGGTCAGTCAGCTGCGCTCTCCATTGACAACACGGCTTGGGCCAACACCGTGATTGCATCACAGGCCACGACCCTAGCCGTGATTCTGTATACTGGTACTCAGACTCGATCCGCAATGTCGACTGCCCCGTCGCGTTCGAAGACAGGCTTACTGGAATACGAAATCAACTCCCTAACAAAAATACTCTGCGCCTTGACCCTCCTTCTCTCCATCATCCTGGTCGCCATTCATGGTTTCGAATATACACAGGGAAAAGAGTGGTACATCAAAATGATGCGCTTCCTTGTGTTATTCTCAACTATCGTCCCAATCAGCCTGCGAGTCAATCTGGACCTTGGAAAAAGTGCATTCTCGTGGTTCATCCAGCGTGATCCTGGAATGCCCGGCGCTGTCGTTCGTACGAGCACCATCCCTGAAGACCTTGGACGTATTGAGTATCTTCTAAGTGACAAGACCGGAACACTGACTCAGAATGAGATGGAGATGAAGAAGATTCATATTGGAACTGTATCGTATGCGAACGAGGCCATGGACGAAGTCTTGGCCTATGTCCAGCAAGGATTCCATTCTCGGCCAACTGGCTCTGGATCGTCAATCACATCGTCAACTGCTCTCGTCACCCCCTCGAGCATGGCCTTGGCTGCTGCGAACGCAGGAGCTACCCGCACCAGAAGGGAGATTGGATCTCGCGTTCGAGACGTCGTACTCGCCCTAGCCCTATGCCATAACGTCACGCCTACCACTGATATTGAAGATGGAAGGGAGGTGACTTCATACCAAGCTTCCTCACCCGATGAGATTGCTATTGTCAAGTGGACAGAGTCTGTTGGCCTAAGACTTACTTCACGTGACCGTAAAAGTATGACACTGGAGACAACAGATGGTGCGAAGATTGTGGTCAAGGTCCGAATTTTGGACGTCTTTCCATTTACATCCGAGGGCAAGCGAATGGGTATCATTGTTCAATTTCTCACGGATAGCCGGGTTAAAAATCCTGACCTGTCAGCAGGGGAGATTTGGTTCTATCAAAAGGGAGCAGATACCGTCATGGGTGAGATTGTTGCTGCCAACGATTGGCTGGACGAGGAGACGGCAAACATGGCTCGTGAGGGCCTTCGCACCCTGGTGGTGGGTAGAAAGAAGCTCTCGTATCAGCAATACCAGGAGTTCTCGAGGAAGTATCAAGAGGCATCCTTGTCTATTTCAGGGCGTGATACCGGCATGCAGCGGGTTGTTACTCACCATCTTGAGCGTGATCTGGAACTCCTTGGAGTCACTGGTGTCGAAGATAAACTCCAAAAAGACGTCAAACCTTCTCTGGAATTATTGCGCAATGCTGGTATTAAAATCTGGATGTTGACTGGTGACAAGGTCGAGACAGCAAGGTGCGTTGCTGTGTCTTCGAAACTTGTGGCAAGAGGTCAATATATCCACACTGTGACCAAGCTCAAGAAGAATGATGTTGCTCAGGACAACCTCGATTTCTTGCACAGCAAACTCGATGCATGTCTTCTCATCGATGGCGAAAGCCTCACGCATTACCTCACTTATTTCCCCACAGAGTTCATCTCTGTTGCTGTTCTTCTACCAACCGTTGTTGCCTGCCGCTGCTCGCCGACGCAAAAGGCCGACGTGGCAAAGCTCATTCGAGAATACACCAAAAAGCGAGTCTGCTGTATTGGTGATGGTGGAAACGACGTTTCTATGATCCAAGCGGCCGATGTAGGTGTCGGTATCGTTGGCAAGGAGGGCCGGCAAGCGAGTCTGGCTGCCGACTTCTCGATTGATCAGTTCTACCACCTTGTGAAGCTTCTTGTTTGGCATGGTCGCAATAGCTACAAACGCAGTGCAAAGCTCGCACAATTCGTCATTCACCGTGGTCTCATCATTGCTGTTTGCCAAACTGTCTTCAGCATTGCTCGTAAATTCGAGCCCCAAGGATTATACAAGGTGAGTTCTTCCCTGTGCTTTGTTTCTTCCCATGATTGATACACCCTGTAATACCAAGAAAGAAAAGAAAAAGATGGCTAAATGCATTATAGGACTGGCTTCTTGTTGGATATGCGACAGTGTACACTGCTGCTCCGGTCCTTAGTCTCGTCCTTGATAAAGATGTGGACGAAAATCTGGCTAATCTCTATCCCGAATTGTACAAGGAGCTTACATCGGGCCGATCGCTTTCATACCGCACCTTTTTCGTCTGGGTTCTGGTTTCCATCTATCAGGGAAGCGTAATCCAGGGCCTTGCTCAAGTCTTGAATGCCGATCAGGAAAAGATGGTCGCCGTCAGTTATACTGTACTGATTCTCAACGAGCTCATCATGGTCGCTATCGAGATCACCACATGGCATTATATTATGATTCTAAGTATTGTTGGCACGTTTTTAATCTATGTTGGGTCGATGCCCTTCCTTGGGGCTTATTACCCCTTACATTTCTTGATCACTTGGTAAGGAAACCCTTCCCCTGTAATATATCTTCGAACTTGAACTGACTTTTTTAAACAGGGGTTTTATCTGGCGCGTATTGGCTATTGGGGCGGTATCACTTATACCACCTTGGGCGGCTAAGGTTATTAGGAGAACAATGAAGCCGCCGTCTTATAGAAAGGTGCAAAGCACCTGAGTGTACTGTATTTAGAATTTCCTTATTATCATTACCGCATAGCGTGCGAAACTAGTTTATTTTTTGGTCATTACGAAGAGAAACACTAAGTGTACATGATCTGTCCCGTCATTTTTACATGTTATCCATATGTTTGAGGTAGACCTCGAATCCAATGCATCGTGAAACGCAAAATCACAACTTCAACACGAGCCACTCGGATGCCAGCCGTGGCTCAAGACTCTGGATCTGGCCAGCGACCCCTCCCAGAGGACCTTGGGTGTGCTTCCCGCCCTGCCACACCTTGGGGCCGGCGTAGTGCGAGACGAAGCCGTCCGGCCCAGAGACGATGAAGAGGTTCTTCCCAGGGAGGGCGCCCTCCGTGGGCGCGCAGCTGCACGGCGGGCTGTCGGACTCGAACTCGGACGCCTCCTCGTGCAGCTTCTGGTTGTGCAGATAACACCTAGACCCGGTCACGGACGCCGAGGGCTGGTATCCCTCGGTCGTCCGGGCGAGCGCCTTGCGGATGTTCTCCAGGCTGAAGGACGAGCCCTCCTCGTCCACCACGATCTGCACGTCGATCCTGGACCCGTACCTGGCCTTCATCTCCGCGAGCTGGCGAGCCACGGGCCCGGGGTCCCGGATGTCGACGCCGAGCTCGGTCGGTTCGCGCCCGCTCTTCCAGAACTCCCACCAGCACGGCCCGGCCGGCGACGACGAGCCGCCCTGGACCTCGCGGCGCTTCCGCACGGCCCAGAGGAGGCTCACGCTCGTGTCCCGGTAGCCGTCGAGCGCGACCTGGGCGGCCTGCATGCCCGGGACGACGCCCGTCCCGCCGGCGAGGAAGACGATGCTCTTGCTGGCGCCGAGCCGGTTGACCAGGTCGAAGCCGACGTGGGGCCCGCGGAGCCAGACGTCCTGGCCGACGCGGAGGCGGCTGAGGTAGTTTGACATCTCGCCGTCGCCGACGGCGCGGATGTAGAACCTCAGGACGCCACTCTTATCCTCCTCTGAATCCCGGGATGGGGGCAGCGGGGTGTAGTGGCGGGAGATCTGGACCTCTGGCTGCTTGAACTCGACCGACCAGAGGGGGTGGCGCCAGCCGCTGGACGAGGGGAGGAGGTATGGCGGGTTGGGGTCTGGGTTCCGGGGGGTGATGGATATCACGAAGGAGGAAGGGGAGAGGGCCTCGCGGGAGGTGATTTGGTAGGGAACAAAGGTCTTGCTGTTGAGGGTCGCCTGCTTGGAGGACGCGGGAGAGGTGGCGTAGTAGTAGAGGATGCCACCGAACACTAGGCCAATGGCGAGAAACCGGCCGGATCTCCTGGACTTCTTTGGTGGCGTGGGGGAGGATGCAGTTGAGTAGGCCCTGGAGGATCCCCTGCCCGGATAGACACCTTGGGAGAGCACAAGTGAGGCTGCTTTGGATGTTGGCCAAGGAGCAGCCCTGGGGCATCTGATCTTAGCCAGACGAGCCTCGAAGGCTCCTGTGGCAGCCCCTTGCCGGGCCCTCGCCCATATACATGGTTGAGCCATTGGGACAGAAATACAGCCCTGGCGAAAGTTGGAGGCAGTCGAAGTAAAATGCAGCTGAGGTGGTCAGAAACACCGTGAGAATACTAGATGCATGTAAGGGGCGTGACGGTCCGCTGATCCGGAAGCTTGGCCGGGCAGACGCCAACAAGGCAACCCGGACGAGGAGAATGAAGAGATCGGGCGGTTGTGACGTTGACGACTCACGGGTTCCCAATAAGTCGACGACGGGCGGGATTACCCAGCCATGATGAAAATCAGTGTAATGACGGGACTCTGATGCTTGTTTTGACTGGCCTGAAAATTAGTGACGATCCATCCCGGCCCCACATATTTTCGGAGGCATCTGATAACATCTGCGATGAATCTAAATACTCGTAGCAACAGGGGTGAATTCAATGTAGATTCTAGGTTCGTTGTTAATACAATAACCCAAATACGTTCCCAGTTCTATAATAATACAAATTTCATCTTGTCGTAGGTCTCATAACCGTAATATCTTCCTGTCCGAATCTATACCTCCCCTAAACATATCCTCCACAACGTTCCCCTTCACCACCGTCTCATTCACCAGTCCCTCCACATGCTTCGGCTCAACCCTCCCATACCAGATTCCCTTCCCTGCTAATGGATGCGGCTTCCCACCTGTTTGCAGCTTGGGAGGCAGGTAGATGATCACGTTGCCCGCAAACTTGTGCCCGCCGATGTGGCTCACCAGCCCGACCCTCACCCCCGTAACCTGCTGCTGCTCGACACTGCCCTCAATCTGGCTCGTCTCCTCTAACACTGCATCGCGAACCACCACAGGCCCCCTCCGCACCTCGAACCCATCCGTCTCCCCCAGCTTCTCCTCAAACTCACCCCGCAGCAGCGGGCCCATCACGCCGCACCTCGCATCCCGCCCGCCGTGCCCGCAGATCAGCACCAGCACCTCGTCCACGTCCTGCACACCGGGCAGCAGGTTCCTGTACGTCTCCTTCCGCGTCATCAGATCCCGATGGATCGGGGACAGCCCCCCGTGCGCCGTGTGGAGCGTCATCGGTAGCAGGTACCCCTTAGCCAGCGCCTGGACGGCCTCGAAGGACACGCGCGGGAGGAAGGGCACGTACTTGAACGAGGGGAGGATGTACGCCGAGGTGGTCTGCACCTCGCGGCGCGGGGGGATCGAGCTGGGCATCGACGAGTTCAACACGGAGACGTTGTGGAACGGCTGAATTTCACATTGGTCAGCTTCTCCTTGGTCTGCTCAGTACTCAAAATTGGGACACTCACGTCTCTGTACTTGCCACCGCGCCCAAACAACTCCTTCAAGTCCGCCGCAAGGTTGTCCCCGCTGTTCTCCTCCTCGATCCTCGACACCCAGTCGTCCTGCCCGGTGCACACCAGCACGTGCTCCGCGTACCCGGCCATGACCCCGTTGAGTGGGCTCTTGTGGTCAATGTCCAGGTCCTCCGGCATGGGCGCGCACGAGCAGGTCGGCGACGGGCACGTCGGGATGGTAGGGAACGGCGGCGGCCTCGGCTTCAGTCGGGATTGGGTCCTCTTGCCCTGCCCTCCCGAGCTGCGTGGCGCCGACGACAACGACCGGGCGGCAGCTTCAGCGGCGAAGCATCGTCGAGCCGCTGGGGCGGGCGCAACGGTCGGCCGGAGGAGCCATTGGCTTCGAGCCCGCATTCTTCCAAGAACCAGAGACGACCGATTGTTCGCTCCCAGGTCTTGGAAGCCGGAATGTGGGAAGGACCAAAAGAGTGTGGGTGCAGCGGGTGCGAGAAGCCGTGAGGCAGCGAGCAGCAGGTCAAGTATTAATAATAAGCCGAACCCGAGTAGCTGTCGGAAGCCGAGATGCGTCATAAGCCCAGGAAAATAGCCCGCCAGCTCCATCAATCGAGCTTGTCCCTCGATGCTTCCCCACATCGGAGATGCAGCGCATCGATGGACGCACCCCACAAACCAGGTCCTAAATATAACCGCCCAACACTCGAAACTCTTTCACCGTTTGTAATGCACTCACTGACAGAAACCAAGTCGAGTTAACTCTAAAATTTGTATTCTGCTTTAAACCTGAAATCTTATCTATGGTAGCGCTTCCTGGACACCGATGAACACAAAAGGGAATCCAAGAATCCAAACTGTAGCAACACCCTACTCAGTGTCGTGTTATGCATATCCAATACCCAACTAGAAAATGTGCCAATCTTTAGTCAACAGAGAAGAAGAAGAAAACTCCCTAGCGCTCTAAACTGAAGTTAATTTGTATTCATGGTCCGTCGCTCTCAGAATACTGCCCCCCTCCTGTCACAGTAGCCAGGTTCCTTGGGCTCCTCATTTGCCCAGCTCATGACGGTAAGTGCGGTTGTGTAGGCCATGGCGACAAATCCAAAGATACAAAGAACGATGTCGGAATACTTCCAGAATCGCGTGCGGGCAACACCTCGGTAGTGCAACATAGGCTATGGTCAAACATGGTTAGTCAAGACATTATATCAATAGAAGGCAAACAGAACATACCGGATAGATGTAGACAAGCGGGATACAAGCAAAGTTGCCCACGAGGGCGACAAACTTGTCAAGGTGATCCGCACCACCCCATGCAATCGCCGAGCAGAGTCCAACAACGAAGAAGCGGAAGCTGTTCTTCTGCCACTTGATGTACGGGTTGTACTTGCCGCTCCTGGTGAAGAGCTCCGTCTCAACAATGCGAATAGCTGGGAAGATCTGGAGGGGGGTTGACAGAAGAATGGCAAGGGAGTAAAGGAACTGGACTCCGTTGACCATCTTGTTGTCCTGGGGAAGATTGAGCAAAACGACAGTCTCCGTCTTGGATCCGTAAGCGGCGTATGACACAGCTCCCATAACGGTGAACAAGACGGTGATGATGACCATGACGATGAACAGGACCTTGGGGAACTTCTCTGGGTGCCTCATGGACTCCTGAATGGGAATAATCAGACCAATTCCCTCAAAGGTGAAGATGGCAGTGCCGATAAACAGGGTCCAGTTGTCCTTGTTGAACATGATAATGTCGGCAAGACCCTCTGAGCTGAGAGTCAAGATGTCGTAGTAGAAGAGATATCCGAGACCAATCAGAATGAACGCATCGGCGATCAAAGCGGTAAATCCAAGTTTTCCAATATCCCTCAGCAGAGAGAATGGAAGGAAGATGACCATCTGCATGAGGATGAGCCAGGGAGTGCTGATGTTCGTCCTGCAGTTGGAGACAGCCAGGATGAAAGAGCGCAAATTCTGGGCGGTGAACACGGTATAAGCAGCGACGAAACCAATCTGGCTAAGAACAATTGATCCCAAAATGAGAGATCGCAGCCACTTTCCGTAGAGTATACCTCCCATATCGCCAAACGATCCATCCACTCGCAATCGGGTATTAACCAAAAGAACGAAGCAGTAATAACTGAGGATCGCGACGAACAACAGAACAACATTACTGAAAATCATTCCTCCATTGAGATAGGCTCGGGGAAGGAAAAGCACGCCGGTTCCCACGAACGATTTCAGCAGCAACATCAAGGCATTAGTCGGACTGTTGTTTCCAACAATTGGGCGGGTCTTTCTGCGGCGTCTTCTCCTCGATGGCGGTAGCAACGCACTGTCTTCCATCGGCTGGTGATCCTCGTCGCTGAAATAATCACTGTCCTCACCCGACGAGAAGTACTCATTGGGGCCGAGGGCCTCGTCGTCCTCCTCAAGCTCTTCACCCGCAAAGTGTCCATAGATGGACAGGAACTCGAGGAAACTCGACGTGAAAAGCTGAGGTTGAGAGTCATCGCCATTGTTCATGTCCTGACGAGGACCACCGCTGGGACTACCCGCAATCCGTCGCAGGTGATTTCTCCGAAAGCCACCAGGGACCTTGATCGTGTTAATGTCAAGCGTGTCGTCCTCGGGCTCCGGTCTCGGCTCGTTGAAACTCTTGCTCCGCTGCATCTTTGATCGAGCTTCTTCCCGCTCGGTCCACTTGTAGATTGGGCGGGTCACATCTCCTCCCTGCAGCTGCAGGCTCGAAAATGTATCGTTCGCCGCACCACCATCCTTGTCCTGCTGCTTTCCTTTCGTCACCCCCGGAAGAAGAGACGACTCCTCGGATCCTGCATTGTCGCTCTCATTGGGCTGGACCAAATGCCTCTTTACCACCTCGACATCCTCGTATGGTCCAGTGCTGCTGGCTGGCCCGCGCGACGTGAAGGAACCATAATTGGTCGGAGTCAGTCGCCCGGCGACGCTGGGTGAGTGTGCTCGGGGAGGTGGCGTGCTGACTCGCCCGGCGGGTGTGCCGTAACGAGGAGGATCTTGGCCTAGAGAATCGGATAAAGCCGCGGCCAAAGCCGAGACGCCAGGTCCTTGGGGACCAAGTCCACCTCCAGCAAGAGGAGCGAGCTCATCCGGAGCGGATGTGTTTGGTCGAGGGGAGCTGCCCCGTTGGACTGGCGGGGTGCCGAACTGTGTGTAAGATGGAATCGGCGAGGCAAGGCGAGCGGTAGCGTCGGACCGTGGGACTGAGCCAACAATTGATCGCGGCGCTTGGTCCTCGGCGCCGTCTGCACCGCTGTTAGAGGTGTTTTTCGGTTGAGAAGACATGACTGTGAGCTTCTATGTCTGTTATTAGCTTCGGCACTCGGCTACCCTTCGAGTCGCACACGGGCTTGTGAAGTGAGTGACGGTGACGCCTCGCTTGCTTGTAGCGTCGAGAGGCGGCAGACGAGATGCACGCCGCACTGCAGATGCCGATACGGTTGAGATATAGATTCTACAATGAGGCGGGAAAATAGGCTCGGCGACGCCAAGCGTCAGGTGGAAAGGCTGCTGGCAGCAATTGAAGAGGCGATGAGAGCTCTGTTGATGAGAAGGTCTAGGTTGTGTCTGGGAAGGCACTTTTGAGGCGGGAATCACCTCGCTGTGAGCGATTCCCGACCAGGCTTAGGCCGGCCCTCTTTCGCTGAGACATGCCCTGCTGATGACTCGGATTCCAGCGGTGGCGGCGCTGTGTG